AAGGTCTACATGTAAAAAAAAAAAAGAAAACAAAAAGGTCTACATGTAAAAAAAAAAAACAAAAAGAAATGTAAAATACATAAGGAAAGCATATATGGCACTATGTTAACAATTTTTTTTAAGTTTGATGGGCACACTGGTGTTTAATGTACTATTCTTTACACTTTTCTGTTTCTTTTTTTTTTTTTTTTGAGATGGAGTCTCGCTCTGTCACCCAGGCTGGAGTGCAGTGGCCGGATCTCAGCTCACTGCCTCCCGGGTTTACGCCATTCTCCTGCCTCAGCCTCCCAAGTAGCTGGGACTACAGGCGCCCACCAACTCGCCCGGCTAGTTTTTTGTATTTTTTAGTAGAGACGGGGTTTCACCGTGTTAGCCAGGATGGACACTTTTTTTTTTTTTTTTTTTTTGAGACGGAGTCTCGTCGCCCGGCCTGGAGTGCAGTGGCCGGATCTCAGCTCACTGCAAGCTCCGCCCCCCGGGTTTACGCCATTCTCCTGCCTCAGCCTCCCGAATAGCTGGGACTACAGGCGCCCGCCACCTCGCCCGGCTAGTTTTTTTTTGTATTTTTTTAGTAGAGACGGGGTTTCACCGTGTTAGCCAGGATGGTCTCGATCTCCTGACCTCGTGATCCGCCCACCTCGGCCTCCCAAAGTGCTGGGATTACAGGCTTGAGCCACCGCGCCCGGCCCAGGATGGACACTTTTCTGTTTCAAAGTGGGTTTTCTTTTTTTTTCAGACGGAGTCTTGCTCTGTTGCCCAGGCTTGAGTGCAGTGATGCGATCTTGGCTCACTGCAACCTCTGCCTCTCGGGTTCAAGGGATTCTCCTGCCTCAGCCTCCCGAGTAGCTGGGATTACAGGCGTGCACCACCACGCATGGCTTTTTTTTTTTTTTTTTGTATTTTTAGTAGAGACAGGGTTTCATCATGTTGGCCAGGCTGGTCTTGAACTCCTGGCCTCAAGTGATCTGCCCACCTTGGCCTCCCAAAGTGTTGGGATTACAGGCGTGAGCAACCATGCACAGCCCTCAAAGTTTTTTTTTTGAATGTAAACAGTTTTATTGAGAAACAGGTACCTGTTTGCATTGTAGAATATAAAACTTGGCTTATGCTCTATAAACAATAACCATTACCCCAATTCACAGAACACACAATTAGATTCAAAGTTTTCACATAAATTGGACAAAAAAATATATCCTTGCCACAAGCCATCTGTGGATGAAGGCGAAAAGCCTACTGACCCTGTGGTAGAACAGGCCTTGCTTCCTCCAAGGCACCTTCTTGGTCAGGAGGGCGTGGTGGGAGAAACTCCTGGTTAGTAGGCAGATTGCCAGTCTCTTCCCCAACTAGACCTCAGTTATCCTTTCGAAAAGTGAAAGTGGAAGTTGGATTAGATTCAGATAGAACCAGAAAGTTCCTTGTAAGATTATAGGTGTTTATTCTAGTTACCTATTGCTCTATAACAAATTACTCCAAATCAGTGGCTTACAACTGCCATTTTAAGGCCAGGTGTAGTGACTCATGCCTGTAATCCCAGCACTTTGGGAGGCCAAAGTGGGAGGATCGCTTGAGGTTAGGAGTTTAAGACCAGCCTCGGCAATATTTATTTCCATAGGTATTGATTTATTTTAGGGGTAAAGTACTATGATGTCTGCAATTTCATCTCAAATAAAAATAAATAAATAGAGATGGACCGGGTCTTGCTATGTTGCCCAGGCTGGTCTCAAACTTCTGGGCTCAAGCAATCGTCCCACCTTGGTCTCCCAAAGTGCTGGGATTACAGGCATGAGCCACTATGCCCAGCTCCCCCCACCAAAAAAAGAAAAAAAAAAAAATATATATATATATATATATATAATTTTTAAAAAGCTTATTTATTTTTTGGGACAGAATTTTCACTCTTGTTGCCCAGGCTGGAGTGCAATGGTGAGATCTCGGCTTACTGCAACCTCTGCCTCCCGGGTTCAAGTGATTCTCCTGCCTCAGTCTCCCGAGTAACTGGGACTACTCCACTACACTTGGCTAATTTTTTGTATTTTTAGTAGAGATGGGGGGTTTCACCATGTTGGTCAGGTTGGTCTCAGACTCCCAACCAGGTGATCCGCCCGTCTTGGCCTCCCAAAGTGCTGGGATTATAGGCGTGAGCCACCACGCCCGGCCTATTTGTTTTGTGTGTGTGTGTTTTTTAAGTAGTTACCTTTTAATGAACTTCCCTCCATGTGGCCTCAAGCCACCAGGACACAGGCTCCCTCAACACCCTTAATCTTCTCCTCAGCTCTTCTGCTGAAGAATTTGGCCTCCATGATGACAGGCTCCTGTGGGAGCTTTCCCTTTCTCAGAACTTTGTAGTAGTCCAATCACACCACATCAATGATGGGAGCAGCCCCAGACTTGTTTTTAGCAGCATTCACCTGTGTCTGTTCACTGACCAAAGTCCACAATTTGTCAAGGCTGCAAGTTGGGCCGAAACTCTGGTTCCTCTTTAAGTGGTAATGCCTCATACCAACTTTCTAAAAGTAACCTGGGTGGTATTTGTTGAAGCTGATCCTGTGGTGATGCATTCCACCAGCATTATCGTGGCCTCCGGGGTGCTTCTGGAGCTTGCCTATGCAGCTGTGGCCGTGGCTCATATGGCTCCAAAGTTTCTGGGTCTTCCTCAGTCTGGATGGCATGTTGGTGGCTCAGACGAAAGACCCAAAATACATTTTTTAAAATTAGCTGGGAATGGTGGCATATACCTGTAGTCCCAGTTACTCGGGAAGCTGAAGCAGGAGGATCGCTCGAGTCCAGGAGGTTGAGGTTACAGTGACCTATGATCACACCAATGTACTTCAAGACAGAGCAAGACCCTGTCTCGAAAAAATCAAAAACAAGGTTGGGAGCAGTGACTCATGCCTGTAATCCCAGCGCTTTGGGAGGCCGAGGCAGGTAGATCACTTGAGGTCAGGAGTCTGAGACCAGCCTGGTCAACATAGTGAAACCTTGTCTCTACTAAAAATACAAAAAATTAGCCAGGCATGGTGGCATGTGCCTGTAATCCCAGCTACTGGGGAGGCTGAGGCAGAAGAATCACTTGAACCTGGGAGGCGGAGGGTGCAGTAAGCTGAGGATCACATCACTGCACTCCAGCCTGGGAGACAGAATGAGACCCTGTCTCAAAAAAACAAAACAAAAAAATCAAAATAAAAATAAAAACAAATATAACAAAATGGCAGTGAGGGCACACCTTCACTCCCATTTTATTATATTCATAGATTCTGGGAGTCAGGAATTCAGAAAGAATGCAGCATGGATGGCTTGTCTCTGCTCTATGACATCTGGGGCCTCAGTTGGGATGGCAAAAGGCTGAGGTGCTTGATGGCTGGGGCCAGGAGTCATCTGGAGGTATCATCATTCATGTTTGGCAAGTGATCTATACCAAGATGCTGATATAGACTGAGATCTCTGGCTGTTGGTCAGAACACCTATCCACGGCCTATCCACATGGCCTTGGACTTCTTTTTGTTTTTTGTTTTTTGTTTTTTGAGACGGAGTCTCGCTCTGTCGCCCAGGCTGGAGTGCAGTGGCGCGATCTCGGCTCACTGCAAGCTCCGCCTCCTGGGTTTACGCCATTCTCCTGCCTCAGCCTCCTGAGTAGCTGGGACTACAGGCGCCCGCCACCGCGCCCGGCTAATTTTTTGTATTTTTAGTAGAGACGGGGTTTCACCGTGGTCTCGATCTCCTGACCTTGTGATCCGCCCGCCTCGGCCTCCCAAAGTGCTGGGATTACAGGCGTGAGCCACCGCGCCCGGCCGGCCTTGGACTTCTTAAATGGAGTCTTGTGCTCTAAAGGTGAATGTCCCAAGAGAATCAGGCAGAAGTTGTATAGCCTTTTATGAATTAGCCTCAGAGGTCGCCAGCATCACTTCTGCCATGGTGCCAGATTCAAAGATTCAGAGGAGGGAACAGAGACCCCATCTCTCAATGGGAGGAGCACCAAGCCCACAGGATAAGAGAGTATTTGGGTCGGGAGACAATTGTTGAATACATTTTGGGGATGTATTCGGAACACACTGCCACAGCACTCCCCAGGCCTGTCCTCTAGCTGCTTATCTCCCAGCTCTGAGCTAGAGCCCCCAAATTCTGCCCCTGGAGTGGCCTCCTCCTTGCCCAGTACTCTGCCCTGGCTGGCAACTCTGAATAAGCCGTGTACTAGGGTTTGAGTATGGGAAAGAATGGAAGCCTATGAACAGAGCTTTACCAAGAAGAAATCATTTGAAATTCAGGATTTTTTTTTTTTTTTTTTTGAGACAGACTTTTGCTCTGTCACCCAGGCTGGAGTGCACTGGCGCGATCTTGGCTCACTGCAACTTCTGCCTCCCGGGTTCAGGCCATTCTCCTGCCTCAGCCTCCCGAGTAGCTGGGACTACAGGTGCCCGCCACCAAGCCCGGCTAATTTTTTGTATTTTTAGTAGAGATGGGGTTTCACCGTGTCGGCCAGGATGGTCTCGATCTCCTGCCCTCGTGATCCGCCCACCTCGGCCTCCCAAAGTGCTGGGATTACAGGCATAAGCCACTGCACCTGGCAACCCCACCCTTTTTTTTTCTTTTTTGAGACAGAGTCTCACTGTCACCCAGGCTGGAGTGTAATGGCGCGATCTCGGCTCACTGCAACCTCTGCATCCCAGATTCAAGTGATTCTCCTGTCTCAGCCTCCCAAGTAGCTGGGACTACAGGCTCGTGCCACCACACCTGGCTAATTTTTGTATTTTTAGTAGAGACAGGTTTCACCACATTGGCCAGGCTGGTCTCGAACTCCCGTGCTCAAGTGATCCGCCCTCCTCGGCCTCCCAAAGTGCTGGGATTACAGGTGTGAGTCACCGTGCCCAGCCAGTGTTGCATCCTTTCAACCGGTCCAGAAAGCTGTACAATATTTACAACAAGCTTGAAAGTTATTTATGTCTTTGATAAAAGACTCAAATCCAGAACTGGGGTTGAAAAAACAAAAATGCAATGAAAGACTGTTTCATAGGGTATAAAAAGACAGATGCAACCATACATTTAATTTTTAAAAATGGAATGTATCTTACATAAGGACTTTGTGAAAAATCTTATACCTATCTGGGTATTATAGAAGATGCATATACCTTTCATAGCTCATGGAGGAAAGAGTGTATAAACAATTTTGATAAGAAGTTGAGGAACAATTTGAAAATAGTTTATAAAGAGAGAATCAGGAGGCAGAAAAAGCTTCAAGAGGCATGGTCTTCAGAAATTGTTCTGGAATGCTGTTTCACTTGTATCGATGTCATGTTCCTGGATGAGAGAATAAGATAGAATTTTAGTATTTCAGTATAAAGCCTGAAATGTAAACTCTTCCGTGCTTTGGAATTTAGAGATCCTGAATCTTCATTAATTAGGATATATACATAATATCTGGCTTTAGGGCTGAATCCAACCCAAGGATCAAATTTTGATCCTTTTGCCCTACCAGGGCAGGGCTTGTGACCACTGCCCACCACCCACCATGATGAGTAACAAACAGAGTTGAAAGCACTGGTGCAAAGACCACACCAGACTTCTTACATTGGCCTTGGTGCCTGTTCTAGCATGCCACCAGAGTGAGTATTGCTGGGAACCTACCTGACCTCCCATCCCATCATTCACTGCTAAGCAGCCACATCAAAACCCTCATGTCTAGGTTCCCTTCATGGATGGCACTTAGACCACAGTAACTGCCCATACACTCCTGTCTCCCACTACACAGAGCTCTGAGAGGGACAGCAAGGACTGCACTCATCTTGTTCACTGCTATAGCCCCAGCCTCCAGCACCATGTTAGAGGTGGAGAGTGAAACATTATCAGATGAGCATCTGTCAGAGCCAGCTTCCTTCCAGGAGAGGCTCAAAAACTAATTGGTCTTCCCGCTCAGCATCTAAAATCCTAAGCTTGAATTTTGCCTGCTTACATTAAAAAACAAAACACTCTTTTTTTGCTGCAAAAGTGACACAGTCACTATAGAGATTATAATAAAGAAGGAAAATAAAAATTAAAGTCTTTTTTTTTTTTTTTTTAAGACAGGGTCTCAATCTATCACCCAGGGTGGAATGCAGTGGCATGATCACGGCTCACTGCAACCTCAACCTCCCCAGGCTCAGGTGATCTTCCCACCTCAGCCTCCCAAGTAGCTGGGACTACAGGTGCAGACCACCACACCTGGCTAATTTTTTGTATTTTTTTATAGAGATGGAGTTTCTGTTGCCCAGGCTGGTTGAGAACTCCTGGGCTCAAATGATTCACCTGCCTCAGCCCCCTAAAGTGCTGGGATTGCAAGCATGAGCCACTGTGCCAGTCCAGGGATAAATTTTTTTTTTTTTTTTGAGACGGAGTCTTGCTGTGTCACCCAGGCTGGAGTGCAGTGGCACGATCTCAGCTCACTGCAAGCTCCGCCTCCTGAGTTCACACCATTCTCCTGCCTCAGCCTCCCGAGTAGCTGGGACACAGGCACCCACCACCACGCCCAGCTACTTTTTTGTATTTTTAGTAGAGACGGGGTTTCGCCGTGTTAGCCAGGATGGTCTCGATCTCCTGACCTCGTGATCTGCCCGCCTCGGCCTCCCAAAGTGCTGGGATTATAGGCGTGAGCCACCGTGCCCAGCCCCAAGGATAAATATCTTTATGTTCTTTTTTTATTATGCAAAATAATTCTATGGAGTATGTGTATTCTGTAAAGAAAGTAGAATCTCTCTCTATACTGTTCTTTAGTCTCTCCGTGCCCCATATTTACTGTATCATGAATGTATTCCTAAGTCCTTAAACTTTTTTTTTTTTTTTTTTTTGAGTCTTACTCGTTGCCCAGGTTGGAGTGCAGTGGTGCAATCTTGGCTCACTGCACCCTCCGCCTCTCAGGTTCAAGCGATTCTCTTGCCTCAGCCTCCTGAGTAACTAGGACTACAGGCACGGGCCACCACACCCAGTTAATATTTTATTTTTAGTAGAGATGGGGTTTCACCGTGTTGGCCAGGCTGGTCTAGAATTCCTGACCTCAAGTGATCCATCCACCTACCTTGGCCTCCCAAAGTGTTGAGATTACAGGCATGAGCCACAGCGCCTGGCCCAAGTCCTTAAACATTTTTATTTTTATTTTTTATTTATTTTTTTGAGATGGAGTCTTGCTCTGTCTCCCAGGCTGGAGTGCAATGGCATGTTCTCGGCTCACTGCCAACCTCTCCCTCCCGGGTTCTAGCAATTCTCCTGCCTCAGCCTCCTGAGTAGCAGGGATTACAGGCGAACGCCACCACGCCTGGCTAATTTTTGTATTTTTAGTAGAGATGAGGGTTCACCATGTTGGTCAGGCTGATCCTGAACTCCTGACCTAGTGATCCACCCGCCTTGGCCTCCCAAAGTGCTGGGATTACAGGGGTCAGCCACCATGCCCAGCCAAACATTTTTAAAAACATTTTTAATCTTATGGATGTACCCTTAACCAGTTCCCTATTGACGAAGATTTTTCTTCTATAAAATAATGCTCACTGAGAATCCTGGTTGATAAATCTGCACATATTCAGAATTATATTATTAAAACAAATTCTGAAGATTAGAATAGGTCAAAGGTATATACATTTTAGGGCTTTTCAACAGTATTATGAAAATATCTCCAGACAAGTGGAACCAACTTATTCTCCCATCAGTAGGGTATGAATGCCTATTTACCAACACTGGCTGGGCATTCAATTTTTGAAATCCTGTCAAGGAATGGAAAAAAGAAGGCCAGAGATAATTTTAAAGTTATTGGTCCTCAGTCAGAGAAAGATCATTTCTTTTTTTTTTTTCCTGAGACGGAGTCTTGCTCTGTCACTAGGCTGGATGGAGTGCAGTGGCGCAGTCTTGGCTCACTGCAACCTCCACCTCCCGGGTGCAAGCAATTCTCCTGTCTCAGCCTCCCGAGTAGCTGGGACTACAGGCATGCACCACCATGCCCAACTAATTTTTGTATTTTTAGTAGAGATGGGGTTTCACCATGTTGGCCAGGATGGTCTCGATCTCTTGACTTTGTGATCCGCCTGCCTTGGCCTTCCAAAGTGCTAGGATTACAGGTGGGAGCCACGGTGCCCGGCCTGAGAAAGATGATTTCTAACCTCATGTTCCAATGCTCTATCCTTTCCTCTGTTCTCTTGTCACACTGGCATCACTGCCGTTCATCAAACATACCAGGCACAGCCCAGCCTTAGGAACTTTGCACAGCTCTCCCCTCCGCCTGGGACACTCCTCCCCCAGAAATCTGCATGGCTAAGTCCCTTAACACCTTCAAGTCTTTGCTCCAATACAACTTTGCAATGAGGCCCACCCTGATTGCCCTATTTATTTATTTATTTATTTTTATTTATTTATTTTTTTTTGAGACGGAGTCTTGCTGTGTCACTCAGGCTGAAGTGCAATGGCCAGATCTCGGCTCACTGCAAGCTCCGCCTCCCGGGTTCACGCCATTCTCCTGCCTCAGCCTCCCGAGTAGCTGGGACTACAGGCACCCGCCACCTCGCCCGGCTAGTTTTTTTTTGTATTTTTTATTAGAGACGGGGTTTCACCGTGTTAGCCAGGATGGTCTCGATCTCCTGACCTCGTGATCCGCCCGTCTCGGCCTCCCAAAGTGCTGGGATTACAGGCTTGAGCCACCGCGCCCGGCCGATTGCCCTATTTAATACTCACCAGTCATCATGGCCACACTCAGCACACTTGATCCCTCTTACCCAGTTCTATTATTATTATTATTTTCTGAGACAGAGTCTCACTCTCTTGCCCAGGCTGGAATGCAGTGGTATCATCTTGGCTCACTGCAACCTCCACCTCCTGGGTTCAAGAGATTCTCCTGCTTCGGCCCCCGTAGTAGCTAGGATTACAGGCATGTACCATCACACCTGGCTAATTTTTATATTTTTAGTAAAGATGGGGTTTCACCATGTTGGCCAGGCTGGTCTTGAACTCCTGACCTCAGGTGAACCACCTGCCTCGGCCTCCCAAAGTGCTGGGATTACAGGTGTGAGCCACCACACCCAGCTGTTTTTTTGTTTTTGTTTTTTTTCCTGAGACAGAGTCTCACTCTGTTGCCCAGGCTGGAGTGCAATGGTGCGATCTCAGCTCACTGCAACCTCCACCTTCCGGGTTCAAGTGATTCACCTGCCTCAGCCTCCCGAGTGGCTGGGATTACAGGCATGCACCATGACACCCAGCTAATTTTGTATTTTTAGTGGAGAGGGGGTTTCACTATGTTGGCCAGGCTGGTCTCGAACTCCTGACCTCAGGTGATCCGCCCACCTCGGCCTCCCAAAGTGTTGGGATTACAGGTGTGAGCCACTGTGCCTGGCCTCTACTTCTAAACCAAAGCACTTACCATTTTCTAGCATCCTATGTGACTCACTTATGTTTATTGCTTATTGTCTATATCTTCCAGCTAGTACATAGGTTCCATAAGTACAGGGATTATTGTCTGTTTTGTTCACGTAGTAGATGCTCAATAAATACTTGCAGGCTAAATCAACATCATAAAACATGAAAAGCACAGTTCATGGATGATACCAGTACTGGAGGGGCTCCCACTACACTATGCCTTGTAGGCTCTGTACCTGGTTCAATTTCTTGAACTCCACCACTTGGAAGAAGACGTGTTCAAGGATATGTTTGGCATCCTGTTGGTCCTTTGGTAGTTTACTGGTTACTCCAAGAATGTCACCACACTTCCTGACATAGAATTCCAGGTCTTCTTCAGTACCTAAGACAGTTGTAGTAGTAGTTAGATTAATTCTTAACTTCTGCCCTTCCCAAAGTACAGATTTAGTGTGTTTCAGGTATGCCCTATCGTGTTTCCATATTTCCTAAGATCACTCACCTCTTCCTAAAGTAATGTGACTGCAAGATTTCAACACTGAAAAACTCTAGCGCTCTCTAATGTGCTGCTTTTATAAATTAGGACAGAAGTGTGACACTCCTAATTAGAATAAAACTGGACTGGTACTGGCTTTCCTATTCCTCAGATCTAGTATTCCTATATTAGAAAGAACAGGTGCAAGAGTAGGAAATCAAATTATCATTCCCTGAATGCAACAAAGATCACTATGAGAAAAGCATATGGGTAATTAAAAATAGCATTTACTAAAACAATATTGTATTGGTCGGGCGTGGTGGCTCACGCCTGTAATCCCAGCACTTTGGAAGGCTGAAGCAGGCAGATCACTTGAGGTCAGACCAGTTTGGTCTGTTCAAGACCAGTCTGGCCAACACAGCAAACCCCCATCTCTACTAAAAATACAAAAATTAACCGGATGTGGTGATGCAGGCCTGTAATCCCAGCTACTTGGGAGACTGACGCAGGAGAGTAGCCTGAATCGGGGAGGTAGAGGTTGCAGTGAACCGAGATTGCGCCACTGCACTCCAGCCTGGGCGACAGAGCAAGACTCCATCTCAAACAGAACAAAACAAAACAGCCGGACGTGGAGGTTCACGCCTGTAATCCTAGCACTTTGGGAGGCCAAGGTAGGCGGATCACAAGGTCAGGAGTTTGAGATCAGCCTGGCCAGCATGGTGAAACCCTGTCTCTACTAAAAATACAAAAAAATTACCTGGGCATGGTGGGGTGCACCTGTAATCCCTACTCGGGAGGCTGAGGCAGGAGAATTGCTTGACCCTGGGAGGCGGAGGTTGCAGTGAGCCAAGATCGCATCACTGCACTCCAGCCTGGGCAACAGAGCAAGACTCCATCTCAAAAACAAAACAAGGCTGAGCACGGTGGCTCATGCCTGTAATCCCAGCACTTTGGGAGGCCAAGGCAGGTGGATCATCTGAGGTCGGGAGTTCGAGACCAGTCTGACCACCATGGAGAAACTCTGTCTCTACTAAAAATACAAAATTAGCCGGGTGTGGTGGTGCATGCCTGTAATCCCAGCTACTCAGGAAGGCTGAGGCAGGAGAATCGCTTGAACCTGGGAGGCAGAGGTTGCAGTGAGCTGAGGTTGTGGTGAGTCGAGATCGCGCCACTGCACTCCAGCCTGGGCAACAAGAGCAAAACTCGGTCTCAAAACAAAACCCCAAAAAACAAACAATATTATAGAAAGAAAATTAAAGAAGAAAAAAATCACCCATAATTCCACCAACAACATAGCTCTGTGAAGCCATCCTCTGGAGCCCTACGTGTAGGATGGACAGCCATTACTGCCCTTCTCACATTATACTGTAATTTCCTTCTTTTTTTTTTTCTTTTTGAGATAGAGTCTCACTCTGTTGCCAGGCTGGGGTGCAGTGGTGCGATCTCAGCTCACTGCAACCTCTGCCTCCCAAGTTCAAGCAATTCTCCTGCCTCAAGCTCCCGAGTAGCTGGGTCTACAGTCATGTTCCCCCATGCCTGGCTAAATTTTGTATTTTCAGTAGAGACGGGGTTTCAACATGTTGGCCAAGATGGTCTCGATCTCTTGACCTTGTGATCCACTTGCCTTGGCCTCCCAATGTGCTGGGATTACAGGAGTGAGCCACCATGCCCGGCCTATTATACTGTAATTTCTTTCTTTCTTTTTCTTTTTTTTTTTTTGAGACAAGGTTTGGTTCTATCACCCAGGCTGGAGTGCAGTGGCATGATTTCAGCTCACTGCAACTTCCGCCTCCTGGGCTCAAACGATCCTCTCACCTCAGCCTCCCAAGTAGCTTGGACTACAGGTGTGCCCCACCACGCCTGGCTGATTTTTTGTATTTGAGACGGGGTTTCACCATGTCGCCCAAGCTGGTCTCGAACTTGTGAGCTCCAGTAATCTGCCTGCTTTGGCCTCCCAAAGTGCTGGGCTTACAGGCGTGAGCCACTGCGCCCGGCTGTAATTTCTTTATTCTCCCTCTGATTTGCATTTTAAGTTATGATAGAAACGTATGTTTTTTACTAAGACATTCAAACCCACAGCTGTAACAATCTTTCATCCTAGTTCTATTGCCACCAACTACCCAGAATTATTATTGTTATGTCTGCTTCTGTGTGTAAATATAAGTTTTCACAAAAATGGGATCACATTTAATGATGTATTATGGACATTCCATGTCAAAGTTTATGCCCTACATTTTTTTTCTTTTCTTTTCTTTTTTTTTTTTTTTTTTTTTGAGACAGAGTCCCACTCTGTCACCCAGGCTGGAGTGCAGTGGCATGATCTTGGCTTACTGCAACCTCTGCCTCCCGGGTTCAAGCGCTTCTCCTGCCTCAGCCTCCCAAGTAGCTTGGATTACAGGCACTGGCCATCACGCCCAGCTAATTTTTTTATTTTTATTTTTAGTACAGACAGGGTTTCACCATCTTGACCAGGCTGGTCTTGAACTCCTGACTTTGTGATCCACCCGCCTTGGCCTCCCAAAGTGCTAGGATTATAGGGGTAAGCCACTGCACCTGGCCTTTTCTTTTTTGAGACAGGGTCTTGCTCTGTCAACCAGGTTGGAATGCAGTGGCACAATCTTAGCTCACTGCAGCCTTGACTTCCTAGGTTCAAGCAGTCCTCCCACCTGGGCCTCCTGAGTAGCTGGTACTACATGAGTGAGCCACCATGCCTGGCTAATTTTTTTTTTTTTTTTTTTTTTGACACGGAGTCTTGCTCTGTGCCCCAGGCTGGAGTGCAGTGGCGCGATCTCGGCTCACTGCAAGCTCCGCTCCCCCGGGTTCACGCCATTCTCCTGCCTCAGCCTCCCGAGTAGCTGGGACTACAGGCGCCCGCCACCTCGCCGGCTAATTTTCTTGTATTTTTAGTAGAGACGGGGTTTCACCGTGTTAGCCAGGATGGTCTCGATCTCCTGACCTCATGATCCGCCCGTCTCGGCCTCCCAAAGTGCTGGGATTACAGGCTTGAGCCACCGCGCCCGGCCGATGCCTGGCTAATTTTATTTTTCTACAGAGAAGAGGACTCACTGTGTTGCCCAGGCCAGTCTCAAGTGATCCTCTTGCCTCAGCCTTCTAAAGTGCTGGGATTACAGGTGTGAGCCATTGTGCCCAGGCTACATTTTTCTTTTAACAGATATGTAATATTCTATTTTGTTTCTATTTATTTATTTTTCAGAAACAGGGTCCCTCTGTCACCCAGGCTGGAGTGCAACAGTGTATCATAGCTCACTGCAGCCTCCAACGCTTGGGCCCAAGTGATCCTTCCACCTCAGACTTCCAAGTAGCTAGGACTATAGAAGTGTGCCACCACACCTGGCTACTTAAATTTTTTTTTTTTTTTTTTTTATATGGAGTTTCGCTCTTGTTGCCCAGGCTGGAGTGCAATAGCATAATCTCGGCTCACTGCAACTTCCACCTCCTGGGTTCAAGAGATTCTCCTGCCTCAGCCTCCCAAGTAGCTGGGATTACAGGCATACGCCACCACGCCCAGCTAATTCTGTATTTTTAGTAGAGATGGGGTTTTTCCATGTTGGTCAGGCTGGTCTTGAACTCCCAACCTCAGGTGATCCACCCACCTTGGCCTCCCAAAGTGCTGGGATTACAGGTATGAACCACCGCACCCAGCCCTTTATTTTGTTTGTTTTTTGAGACAAAGTCTCATTATGTTGTCCAAGCTGGTCTTGAAATCCTGGCCTCAACTGATCCTCCCGCCTTGGCTTTTCAAAGTGCTACAATTATAAGCATGATCCACTTTGCCCAGGCAATTTTTTTTTTTTTGGTAGAGATGCGATCTATGTGACCCAGGCTTATTTCACACACTTTTAAACCAATCCCCCTACTAATGTATGGACCATTAGACTGTTACCAATTTTTTGAATGCTATAAATATCTATATAGCTATATATATTTTGTTTTGCATTTCCACAAGGATTTCCATAGGACAGTTGCTAGAAACAGAAATGCCAAGTCAAAGCTTCTGCTTCTTCACTGTTCTGTGATTCCTCCTGGACTTATCACTATGTCCTGCTCATTTTTGATTGTCCAGGACCTACAGCAATGCCTGGCACAGAATAGAGATGCAGTAAAGGTCTTTGTTTACACTGAACTATTTCCATTTTGCTTACTTCTTTCTGGGCTTTGGGCACATACAGATGTTGCTGACATAGCTGGTATCCTCTTGTACATGCAGTTTTGTATCTTGCTTCCTTCATTCAGGCTTCTCTCTTAAATTTTGTCTGTGTCATATGAGTCATTCCCTAGCCTTTGTGAATCTCTTTTATAATGACTACATATTCTCCTACCAAATGATTGTGATGCAGTTTACGACCATTCCTCTGCTAATGGACATTAAAGCTATTCCCAAATTTATAGTTTTTTCTATTTTTAAAAATTGTTATTTTTTAAAATATATTTTTAAGGCCGGGCGCGGTGGCTCAAGCCTGTAATCCCAGCACTTTGGGAGGCCGAGACGGGCGGATCACGAGGTCAGGAGATCGAGACCATCCTGGCTAACACGGTGAAACCCCGTCTCTACTAAAAAAAATACAAAAAACTAGCCGGGCGAGGTGGCGGGCGCCTGTAGTCCCAGCTACTCGGGAGGCTGAGGCAGGAGAATGGCGTAAACCCGGGAGGTGGAGCTTGCAGTGAGCTGAGATCCGGCCACTGCACTCCAACCTGGGCGACAGAGCAGACTCCGTCTCAAAAAAAAAAAAAATAAAAAATAAAATATATTTTTAGAGACAGGGTCTTGCTGTGTTGCCCAGGCTGGTCTTAAATTCCTACGTTCAAGCGATCCTCCTACCTCAGCCTCTCGAGTTTATCGTATTTTTAAAATAAATAGTGTAGAAGTTGGCTGGACGCGGTGGCTCATGCCTGTAATCCCAGCACTTTGTGAGGCTGAGGCCGGTGGATCACCTGAGGTCTGGAGTTTTAGACCAGCGTGGCCAACATGGTGAAACCCCATCTCTACTAAAAACACAAAAATTAGCCATGTGTAGTGGTGGGTGCCTATAATCCCAGCTACTTGGGAGGCTGAGGCAGGAGAATCGCTTGAACCCAGGAGGCGGAGGTTACAGTGAGCCGAGATTGCACCATTGCACCCAAGGCTGGGCGACAAGAGTGAAACTTCATCTCAAAAAAAATATATATAATCTCCTTAGATTAGACTTCCAGGAGTGGGGCCACTGCCTCAAAGTGGATGGTTAATTTTATGCCTCTGAGCATATATATGCAGAGCCATTTGCTGTGTTGGAGGCAATTCATGTCGGGAGCAGCCCCAGACCAAAAGTCAGGAGGACCACTCATCGTGAAGCTGTGTGGCCTGGGGCCTTATTTCTTCATCCACATGTCAAGGTGGGCACACTTGGCTCTCTCTCAGATCCTGTCCAGTCTGAAGTCTCTATGATTCTTTGGGCCCTGACTCAATTTCCTTATTTAGCTGCTCCTATGACCACCGACTGAGATTTGCTAAGTGGCAGCCAGGGTCAAGATTAATTCTATGGTCTCTCAATAGGTCAGAACTAAGGACTCACAGGGATCAAAGCTGAGACCTTTGGCTTTCTGCTTGGCACTATGTTCTTATTCACTGAACTAAATAGCCTTGAGAAGAACAACCAACATCATTTATATGACATAAATAAGAATGTTAAGTTTATACTCCTATTCATATTTTGTTTTCCCTAAACAAACTCTAAGCTTTCTCTCATAGTAATCCTCAGAAATTCATGACTAAATAAAACTCATAAGAGAAAACAAAGTTTAAAAGTTGGCCAAACTTAGGCCATGCGTGGTGGCTCACACCTGTAATCCCAGCACTTTGGGAGGCAGAGGTGGGCGGATCACCTGAGGTCAGGAGTTCAAGACCAGCCTGACCAATATGATGAAACCCCGTGTCTACTAAAAATACAAAAATTAGCCAGGCGTGGTGGCACACACCTGTAATCCCAGCTACTCGGGAGGCTGAGACAGGAGAATCACTTGAACCTGGGAGGCAGAGGTTGCAGTGAACCAAGATCGCACCATTGCACTCCAGCCTGGGCAACAAGAGTGAAACTCCATCTCAAAAAAAAAGTTGGCCAAACTTACACTTATTGGTAATCTGAGCCAGCCGTGCCTTCTCAGAGGAGAATGTTTCATCTAAATCAAATAGCTCCAGAGGTGGAGGTGGTAACTCCCGGAAGCTGGGAGGAAAAACCTAAAAGGAAATAAAGTCATCATTTAGAAATGCGGGAGGATAATGTAAAGGAAATAAAGTCTCTCAAGAAAGAGCTTGTCCAAAGTCATAACTAACAGTGACGAGACACAAGGAGAATAAGGAAGTCCACATCCTTAATTCCTCAGTTGGGAACCACACCACATGGAAATCCCTACAGAACAGTAACTCAGCTCTTCCCCGAGGATGAAGTACCCAAACTCCCATCACCTCGTCTACCCTCACCCATGAGACCCATATCAAGAAAGATTACTAGCCCACTGTAAACAACCAAGTGGAACCAGCTCTAATTACCACTAAACTGACCAAGCTGACATACCAACACTAATTAACTCAGAACGATGACACAAAGCTTGGGACTTAGGTTTGTGTTGAACATTTGATTGTACAACTTTTTTCTCATTTAATCATAAGTTTTTAGGGATGGAAGTTATTTGGAGAACCAGATGCAGATTAGTGTAGAAAGTATTGAACCTGGAGTCAGATTTTGCAGGTATGAACCAATGGTATGCGGGTAAATGTTTAACTACTTTCAAAACAAAACAAAACAAAACTGAAAGCCTCTTTTGTAGCATTTACCATTTTCTGTAATGTAAATCCTCTCACCATGGCCAATTTCAAGCTACCAAGCAAGATCAAGCCAACTGGCTCATAACATTTCAGAATGTGGTGAGACAAGGTAATTTTAAAGGCAAGTTGAGTGAATGTTGGACTGAAATGTTGAAAAATAACCTATTTACACACATAGCCATAACTATCCCCTGGGCTGTGAGAATTATGCTATGAATCAGGCCCTGACACCTGGAATGGCAGTACAGTTTTCTTCCTTTTTATCCAAGAAATCTCATATATGCCCTCCAACCCCACAAGATGGGAATGGGAAATGTTTAATAGCCAGAAGGCTTCACATCCTTGATTCCTCAATTTGGAAGCATACCACACGGAAGTCTCTATAGAACATTAACAAATTAGGTGTCCATGCATGTTTAGAGACAGAGCACTATGACTCCACAAGGAGTGCCACAAATGGCACATGGAAGGGACCACAGTGAAGGCCTGCTGACAAGATAAGGGCAACAGTGGGGCTCTGCAGTGGGATCCCCCAAGCACACCTACTCACCGCAGGCTGAAGGGTTGGCAGAGGCGTCTCAAACTGAGGCTGGATGAGCTGGAGCGGTTCATGCTTCACATTTAGCTGCTCGTGAGCCCTGTGTTCATAATCAAACAAAAAAGCAGGGATCAAGATAAGACACCATAACACAGCATGTCTAACTGACCACACTGTGCTATTCTCCATGAAATACAGTGGTTCAGTACTATTTTTAGAAATACCAATGGACCCAGCAATCCCATTACTGGGTATATACCCAAAGGAATATAAATCATTCTATTATAAAGCCACATGCATGCATATGTTCACTGCAGCACTAGTCACAATAGCAAAGACATGGAATCAACCCAAATGTTCAACAATGATAGACTAGATAAAGAAAATGTGGTATATATACACCATGGAATACTATGCAGCCATAAAAAAGAATGAGAGAGGCTGGGCGCAGTTGCTCACACCTATAATCCTAGCACTTTGGGAGGCCGAGGTAGGTGGATCACCTGAGGTCAAGAGTTTGAAACCAGCCTGGCCAACATGGTGAAATCTTGTCTCTACTAAAAATATAAAAATTAGCTGGGTGTGGTGGCTGGCGCCTGTAATCCCAGCTACTTAGGAGGTTGAGGAGGAGAACTGCTTGAACCAAGGAGGTGGAGGCTGCAGTGAGCAGAGATCATGCCATTGTACTCCAGCCTAGGCAAGAGAGCAAAAACTCTGTCTCAAAAAAAAAAAAAAAAAAAAAAAAGCCAGGCACAGTAGTTCACGCCTGTAATCCCAGCACTTTGGGAAGCCGAGGTGGACGGATCACAAGGTCAGGAGATCAAGACCATCCTGGCAGGCCGGGCGCAGTGGCTCAAGCCTGTAATCCCAGCACTTTGGGAGGCCGAGGCGGGCGGATCACAAGGTCAGGAGATCGAGACCATCCTGGCTAACACGGTGAAACCCCGTCTCTACTAAAATACAAAAAATTAGCCGGGCGCAGTGGCGGGCGCCTGTAGTCCCAGCTACTCGTGAGGCTGAGGCAGGAGAATGGCGTGAACCCGGGAGGCAGAGCTTGCAGTGAGCCGAGATGGTGCCACTGCACTCCAGCCTGGGCGACAGAGTGAAGACTCCGCCTCAAAAAAAAAAAAAAAGTGTCCCTGGAAGAGGCAACAGCAAGAACAGGCAGAAGGGTGCCCGGCATTTTCACAGAACAGCAGGCCAGCCAGAGGGACTCCAGCAGAGGATCGGTGTTAGGAGCGAGCCTACAGAGCTGAGAGCTCATCTTACCCCTGTGTTATTTTTCTATTGTGGCTTCTCCTTTGTCTTCATTCTCTCAAATATTTTGCGTTGTACGCAATTTTTTAAGTTAGCTAAACTTTTCTGGGGAAGAGGCAAAGTAAAATATCGTCATCCAGCTCAACTTGTATATTTATTTGTGGCCCTTCAAAGTTAAGCTAGAAAACCAAGTGCCAATGACTGGGCAGAGACCACGGCAGCTTTTTCTATGAGTGAGGTCTGTGACTGCAGAAAAACGATTAGCTGAGCTCACCGCTGTCACCTCCTCCACTATTTCCAGGTGCTTGGGGAGAATCTTTCCTAGCACTGAGCAGCAAATCTCCACAGAGGGAAGAGAAATAACTTTTATGGAGCACCTGCTACACGCCATGTGTTATGCCAACCCTGTGCTAGGCACTTAAACTTATTTACTCCTCAATACAACTGTGGAAAGTGGGTATAAAATCTCTTGTAGAAGAAACTGAGGTATAGGAATGATAAACAGTAGCTTCCCAAAGTTATATGGTTAACATGGGACAAAGGCAAGATCAGAACTCAGACGTAGCCAATCTCTGCCAACCAGAATCTTTAATTCGGTCTGCCCCCAAATCAAAAGTGATTAGGGGCAGTTTTAAACTAAAGTTCTTACTACCTGCTCACAAAGAATCCTGCTGCTGAGTCCTAGCCTCAGCTACCCCTGGTATGAATTTATTTCCACTTTCTGTCCCCCGAGGGAGCTGACTGTGCTGGAGCAAAGGCTTTGTCCCATTAAGTCTTCCCGTCCTCCACTCTGCTCACCACCTGCCCTAATTATCCTCCTACCATTAGCCAACATGACTTGATGGGAGCCGGGTAGGGGACTGGAGAAACTAATCTTAAAACCAAGGGAAGAACAGATGCCAAAGCTAAATATAAATCTGTGAAATGGCGCTGAACTAGATCTTTCGGGTATGGCCTGACCTCTAGCACTGCGTTTTTACCACTCCATGTTTCAAGCCCCAGCCCATCCATGAACTCTAAGGGCAGGGACTCCACACCATCTGCCTCTACCTCATACTCCACAGGCACTGATAAACACCCAGTGGACAAATGAAATTACTTCAGAGCAACACCCTGTAGTTGACATAAATATTTAAAGCCTAACTGAATTTTAACTCAGAAAACATAAACTACTGAAAGATGTTACTAGCAAATAAAAATATCTGAGCTTACCATAGAGACAACAGAAGCCAGTAACTACTGGCCTCTGCTGTGGTATGTAAGACAAATACAAGAGTTGTCTAAGTCTCTGAAACATCCACTATTTGACTCTGCTGACACTAAGACAGTAGGCAGTTCCAATTAATCCTTCATTTAACACTGAAATTATCATAATGACCTGGTTTAAACATATCAGGGGAGAATTAGGCCAAAACAGCAGAAGCTGGTCAGACTGCAACTGGCTAGTGGCGTGGTCAGATGTATCTTTTTTTATTCCAAGAAAAGCCCTGAGCTGCAGAGGAGGAAGAGAACACGAGAGCTCAAAACCAAGCAAGTTAAGAGCCAAACATGCAGCCAGGAGCTACAGGATTTGTAATTGGACTGTCACCTGTGGAAGGGGTGATGGAGATGCCATGCCCTGGTAGCTCTGGAGGCTTTGGTCCCGCTGTTTCTTAAAAGCACCCTCACCTCCTACAGTAACAAATTTTCAGATAATTTCCTCCAAGATTCAGAGTTAAAATTGCCTGGCTTCAAATTCAGGTCCCAATGAAAACTGGTTGTGTGATTTTGAGCAAATCATTTAATTTCTCTGTGCCTCAGTGTCCTCAGATGTAAAATGGAGATAACGACCTCACTGCGGTTGTTACATGATAAAGCAAAGTACATAAGGAACATACCATGGTACTTGCTACCTGATAAATAAATGTTATTAACTAAAATAAATGTTAGTTGTTATTAATATTGAAGGAAAGGGAGATAAGAGGGGAGCTAAGGACAATTGTTAGTCAGGGATTGATTAGTAGCTGTTTAACTTAGAGCAAATCGTCCCAAGCCTCAGCTTCTTAGAAGTTAACTATGGAGCTATTCTCTACTTTTCAGAATTGTTGTAAACAGTAAATTTGGTAGTATTTGCAGGCTCTTGGAAGAAAGTGGGTGTTCAATGTCTGTAAAACTTAAGTCGAAGCCGGGCATGGTGGCTCATGCCTGTAATCCCAGCACTTTGGGGGGCTGAGGTGGGCGGATCACAAGGTCAGGAGATTGAGATCATCCTGGCTAAGACGGTGAAACCCCGTCTCTACTAAAAATACAAAAAATTAGCCGGGCATGGTGGCGGGTGTCTGTAGTCCCAGCTACTTCGGAGGCTGAGGCAGGAGAATGGTGTGAACCCGGCAGGCGGAGCTTGCGGTGAGCCAAGATGGCGCCACTGCACTCCAGCCTGAGCGATAGAGCAAGACTTTGTCTTGGAAAAAAAAAAACTTAAGTCGACAACAGAGCTTTTGGATATGATGTATAAGGTTTTACAAAATAAGCTAATTAAAACCACAATACATAGCAGTTACTGTTTATACTAAAACATGCAACTAAATAATTCCTGGGCATTTACAAAAGATAATGCCCCTTCCTCTTTATACCACTTGCTTGACAAAATCACAATGGTTAAATCCATGTCTGGGCCCACCCTGCCTGTAGCCACACAGCTAAACAAGTTTGGAGGAAAACATACCACCCTACCGGCTTGTAGAACTTTCGATCCAAAACCTCCAGTCTCCAGTGGGCCTTTAATGTTGCTTGGCAAATCCTTCCAAAGAAACCTTGTCCACTCCCTCTCCCACTCCCCTAGAGGCCTAATATATGCCTTCTCTCCTAAATCTCCATTATCTCTTTGGCAATTTTTTTTTTCTTTTTTAAGACGGGGTCCCACTCTGTCTGTTGCCCAGGCTGGAACGCAGGGCACAATCTCGGCTCACTGCAACCTCCACCTCCCGGGTTCAAGCGATTCTTCTGCCTCAGCCTCCCGAGTAGCGGGGACTACAGGTGCATGCCACCAAGCTCAGCTGATATTTGTGTTTTTAGTAGAGACGGGGTTTCACCATATTGGCCAGGCTGGTCTCAAACTCCTGACCTCGTGATCTGCTCGCTTCCACCTCCCAAAGTGCTGGGATTACAGGCGTGAGCCACTGTGTCCGGCTTCTTTGGCAATTTTTAGCTGATGATCTTGTTTCCTATTTCATCAAAAAGACTGAAGTCCTAAGAATTTCCATAATCTTCAATCAACAACTTTTCTCATCCACCAGAGTCTGCACCCATGTTTCCCATCTGTTACTGACTAAATGATCCATGCTCCTGTCTAAAAGCTAAGACTGGGCCAGACATGGTGGCTCATGTCTGTAATCTCAGCACTTTGGGAGGCTGATCACTTGAAGTCAGGAGTTTGAGACCAGCCTGACCAACATGGTGAAACTCCATCTCTACTAAAAACACAACAATTAGCTGGGTGTGGTGGTGCACGCCTGTAGTCCCAGCTACTAGGGAGGCTGAGGCAGGAGGATCACTTGAACCTGAGAGGCAGAGGTTGCAGTGAGCCAAGATTGTGCCACTGTACTCCAGCCTGGGTAAAGAATGACACTGTATCTCAAAAAAAAAAAAAAAAAAAAAAAGACCATATATATATATGAAATAATAAAAACAAAAGCAAAGACCAGGCTGGGAATGGTGGCTAACATCTATAATCCAACACTTTGGGAGGCCAACATGGGAGGACTGCTTGAGCCCAGGAGTTCCAGACCAGCCTGGGCAACAGTGGAACCCTGTCTTTAAAAAAAAAAAAAAGAGCTAAGAAGACCACTTACCAAACCCCCTTTCCCATTGTCTCTTGCTTATCTCGTGTTTCACCTCAGTCATTTTCCTCGCTCTCGCCTACATTATCCATTTTTCTCTCTACTGGAACATTCCCACCAGTATAAAAATATACTGCGACTTCTTCCATCTAAAAAACACCTTCTTGACCTTACTTCTTCCAGCTAGCTACTGACCCTGGCCCTTGCCCCTGCTGTTTCTCTCTGTAGCAAATACCTCAAAAGAGCTATCTATATTTGTTATGTCCAATTCTCTCTTAAACCAACTCCAAATAAGCTTTCACCCTCACCATCTCATAAAAAAGACTCTGTCTAGATCACCAGTGACCTCCATGTTGCTAAATCCAAAGATAAATTCTCAGCCCTCATTTTTTATGACCCATAAGAAGTATCTGACACAGCTGATGACCCTTTCTATCTTGACAGACTTTCTTTACTTGCCTCTCAGAATACCATGCACTTGATTTTCTTCATCTCACACTGGCTACTGCTTTTCCATCTCTTCTTTTGGCTTTTCTATTTCTCCCTTTCCTTTTTTTTTTTTTTTTTCTGAGATGGAGTCGTGCTCTGTCACCCACGATGGAGTCCAGTGGTGTTTTCTTGGCTCACTGCAACCTCTGCCTCCTGGGTTCAAGTGATTCTCCTGCCTTACCCTCCCAAGTAGCTAGGACTACAGGTGTGTGCCACATGCCTAGCTATTTTTTTCCTATTTTTAGTAGAGATGGGGTTTCACCATGTTGGCCAGGCTGATCTCAAACTCTTGGCCTCAAGTGATCCACCCACCTCAGCCTCCCAAAGTGCTGGGATTACAGGTGTGAGTCACCATGCCCAGCTGGTTTTTCTGTTTCTTCCTAACTTCTGAACTCTGGGGTGCCCCAGGGCTCAAAAGATGGTCCTTTTTTTTTCTCTATCAACACTTATAACGCTTTGTGAGCTCATCCAGTCACATGGCTTTAAATACTATCTACCATATTTAATCAAATCTAAGAATCCACCAAAGGTAAGATGCATCATAGTTCATGGTTCACTGAAAGGAAAAAAATGCTGCTAATTAAACTAATACATCATCTATTGTTAAGATTCATCCTGAAAAACAGAAAAAAAGTAAAAGAAAGAAAAACAGGCAAAAAATAAGAAAAAGATTCATCCTGATTTTATAGATTTGAAAATAGAGCCAGGTGCTGTGGCTCACGCCTTTAATCCCAGCACTTTGGGAGGCTGAGGTAGGTGGATTACCTGAGGTTAGGAGTTTGAGACCAGTCTGGCCAACATGGTGAAACCCTGTCTCTACTAAAAACACAAAAATAGCTGGGCATGGTGGTGCTACTCAGGAGGCTGAGGCAGGAGAATTGCTCGAGCCTGGGAGGCAGAGGTTACAGTGAGCAGAGACTGCACCGCTGCACTCCAGCCTGGGCAACAACAGTGAAACTCTGTCTCCAAAAAAAAAAAAAAAAAAAGGAAAAGATGTGTGCTGTGTGCTTTAGATGAAATACAGATACAGATGTGCTTTAGATGAAATACAGATACAGATGTGCCCCCAAACTCCCACATTAAATGTATAGCTCAGATATCTCTTCTGACCACCAGGTTAACATATAAAACTGCTACTCAACACCATCTGGAAACTTCATTGACATCTCAACTCCATATACCTCAAACTGAACTTCTGCTCTTCCTGCAAAATCTACTCACAGTCTTTCTCAACTCAGTTATTGTAACTTTTTTTTTTTTTTTTTTTTTAAGACAAGTTCTCTCTCTGTTGACCAGGCTGGAGTGGGTCACTGCAGCCTTAACCTTTGGGGCTCAAGCAATCCTCCCACCTCAGCCTCCCAAGTAGCTGGGACTACAGGTGTGCACCACCACACCTGGGTAATTTTTTGCTTTTTTGTAGAGATGGGGTCTTCCTATGTTGCCCAAGCTGGTCTTGAACTTGTGGGCTCAAGAGATCTTCCCACTTCGGCCTAAGTGTTGGGATTACAGGTGTGAGCCACCATCCCTGGCCAACTTCATCCTTCTCACTGCTCAGAACAAGCTTTCTCCTTCTCACCTCCCACATCCTAACTGTGTAGCACATCTTGTTGCCTCTACCTTCCAAATACATCCAGAATCAGACCATTTCTCACTACCTCCACTGCTCCCGTCTGGCTGGTGCCAGCATCATCTCATGCCTGAATTACTGCGACAGCTCCCTTCAGGCCCCAACTCCACTCTTGCTCCTTGACATTCAGGATATAAGGAAGTCATTATGCCACCCCTCTGCTCAGAACTCCCAGTGGCTCCTCTTTTCACCCAGAGTGAAAGCCCAGGAAGTCCTTGCAGAGGCAAACAAGTAGGCCAGGCCTGATCTCCCACCATTCTCATCCCTACTCACTCTGCAGTGGCCACAATGGCCTTGTTGCTCTTCCTAGAATATATCAAGCATTCCTCCGTCTTGCAGTCTTAGGACTGGCTGTTTCCTGTGCCCAGAATACTCTTCCCTCAGATAGCCACAAGGCTAAATTCTTCACCTCCTTCAAGTTTTTCCACAAATATCACCTTTTCAATGAAGTCATCTTGATCACCCTATTTTTTTTTTTTTTTTTTTTTTTTTGAGATGGAGTCTTGCCCTGTCACCCAGATTGGAGTGCAATGGTGCAATCCTGACTCACTGCAATCTCTGCCTCCTGGGTTCAAACGATTCTCCTGCCTCAGCCTTTGAGTAGCTGGGATTTAAAGCCTAACTGAACTCTGGCACTGCGTTTTCACCACTCCATGTTTCAAGGTGTCTGCCACCGTGCTCAGCTAATTTTTGTATTTTTAGTAGATATGGGGTTTTGCCATGTTAGCCAGGTTGATCTCGAACTCCTGACCTCATGATCGTCCCACCTCGGCCTCCCAAAGTGCTGAGATTACAGGCATGAGCCACCGTGCCTGGCCTGATCACCCTATTAAAAATGCAATGTGCCTGGCACTCCCCTTCCCCAGTATTCTGCTTGACGTATGTAATCATCTTCTAACATATTCTTTAATTTACATCACAGATATAGAAATGTCTTGATGCCTGTCTGTTTTGTTAGATAATAAACTACAAAAGGGTAAAGATTTTCATTATTGAGGTCCCTGAAGCATCCCAAGATCCTGGAACAGTAGTTGTGCCACAAATATTTGCTGAGTGGATGTATAAGCAAAGCATGGGGAGAATGGCAGCATGTTAATTCCACAAACATCCCCCAAATGCCCAGGATGTGCTGGGCTCTGGGTCTTAGGCAATGAGGATTCCAGGTTGATAAGGCATGGCTCTTGGTCTCCGGATACAGAGGGGTGGGAAAGGAAGACAAGCTAACCAAATTTTCTCCCTGAGTAGTGAAATTCAGATTAGAAATAGTGAAGATGAGCCCTGGCCCCTCTCTGAACCCCTCTGCTTGTGTCATTTTCTCCTCTCCTTCTTGCCCTTCAAGATGCTGCCCGCCATCCTGTACATTTAACTGCTTTTCCCCAGCTTCGGTCTTTGGCCCTCTTCTCCTGCCTCTCAAGCACTGAAAGTTGTGAGGTCCTGTCTCAAGGCCAATTCCCATTCTTGTGCTGTCCCTGATGTCCTCATCCCATCCCACAGCTTCCCTAATGGCCTTACAGACCTTTTCATCTTTAAACTCGTAGTTCCACCTGTACATCTGCACTAGACTGAAAGTGCCCAGAACACAGCCCATGTATCTTTCCTTTTCCTGCATTTTTTTTTTTTTGAGACGGAGTCTTGCTCTGTCGCCCAGGCTGGAGTGCAGTGGAGCAATCTCGACTCCCTGCAAGCTCCACCTCCCGGGTTCACACCATTCTCCTGCCTCAGCCTCCCGAGTAGCTGGGACTACAGGAGCCTGCCACCACGCCTGGCTAATTTTCCTTTTCCTGCATTCTTAGTGCCAGTTAATAGCATTACCAGTTGCCCAGATACCCAGGGAGAAATGGGGGTGACCAACCATCTCCATTTACTGAGGGTGCTCCTGGGACTTGGGACTCTCTGTGCTAAAACCAGAAGTCTGGGGAAAAATGAAACAAGCTGGTCACCCTAAATGCCTGGTCCAGAATCTGGAACACGCAGGGGTAATAACCTCTGGCAGTTCTCTACATCAACCCCTCATACCCAGCCCAGTTTCTTTGTTGACCTCATCACAGATCTGAGAACATGTTCTGCATGCCACATTTACTATAACCCTAACTCCCGTTCCCAGGCTCATGTTTCCAAACCAAACACTCAGAATAGAGTGCAGTGTAGCTCAGAGGCCCACAGGTACTGACTCGATGACACTGTGGAAGGAGGTGGTATCCAGCTGGAAGATGGACAGGTCAAAGAGGGTGGTAAAGTCCCTCGGGATCTCATCGCTCTCCTGGAGACACTCTCGATTCCGCTTTGATAGGGTGGCTGTGTAGGGCAGCATCATGTAATCAGAAATCTGAAAGCCACAAGAGGATTCCTTTCAGCACAGCAAGAACAAGCATTTATTCTGTCAAATCTCCCGTCTCAGGTCTAAATCTGCAACATTTATACTCTCTTGCCAAGAAATTTTACTGTTCATGATCACTGACCACTAAACCTTAAATAAGCTAATTTATGTGGAAAGAGGAACAAAATTAACTTGGCTAAACCCCAGCACTGGCTAAATCCAACTCTCCAATTACACCAGTACTCACATGGCTGAACACAGCTGGAGAAACAACCCTGTCAACTGGTCTTTTAATTTCATGATCTCTGATCTTGAGCACTCAGCAATCAACTACATCTCTGTAGTCTACCCACTTTCCCATTCTTCTAGACAATACTCCCCTTTTTCCAGTTCAGCCATGAAAATGATTTTCCCAGCTGGGTGCAGTGGCTCACACCCACAACACTTTGGGAGGCTGAGGTGAGCGGATCGCTTGAGCCCAGGAGTTGGAGACCAGCCTGGGCAATATGGCAAAACCCTGTCACTACAAAAATACAAAAAAATTTAGCTGAGCATGGTGGTGTGTGCCTGTAGTCTCAGCTACTTAGGAGGCCGAGGTGGGAGGATCACCCGAGCCCAGGAGGTCAACACTGCAGTGAGCCATGATCAAACCACTTCATACCAGCCTGGGTGACAGAGTAAGACTTTGTCTCAAAAAAAAACTGGTTTTCCTTTTCACCATTTTAGCAATGACCCTATTTTCTATTTTAGTAAGAAAATAGAGGAAATCATGAAAGAAAGTCCACAAGCTCCCACCATAACATGTACCTACCCACTAGCATCCAGGCCCTATCTGCTTCTTTCCTCCTGGTGCATGCCAGAGTACCTGTGACACCAGTACAGACAGTTCCTCCACCGGTACACTAGATACCAGTCCTTCTCCCCTAGCCAGGGACATCCCTCTAGCATTGCTGAGAGCCCTCAGTCATGACACATGCTGTGGACTAGTGACAGTAAAAGACCAGGAAAACCTAAATGCCTGCCAACAGGATAGTGGTTAAATATATATGTATACATATACATATATATACATACACACATATATGTATATGTATACACACACAGATGTATACACATGTATACACATATATACACATATGTATACATATATATACACACACACACACATATATATTTTTTTTTTGAGACGAGTCTCACTCTGCCACCCAGGCTGGAGTGCAGTGGCGCGATCTCAGTTCATGCCATTCTCCTGCCTTAGCCTCCTGAGTAGCTGGGACTACAGGCGCTCGCCACCACGCCTGGCTAATTTTTTTTAAATTTTTTAATTTTTTAGTAGAAACAGGGTTTCACCATGTTAGCCAGGATGGGCTCAATCTCCTGACCTCATGATCCACCCGCCTCAGCCTCCCAAAGTTCTGGGATTACAGGCGTGAGCCACCGCAACTGGCCATGAGTAGTTAAATATATTACACTTAAATAATGAAGCAAAATATCCATATGCTTAATGTTTCCATATAAGGAAATACTTTAGACATGCAGCTCTCCTGTTTCCTAACCCAAATCAGTCTCTGAGAAGCCATGTCCCTAGGTGAGGGAGGAAGCAGTCAGTGGACAGCCATCTTTGACTGTCTTCTCACCTACCTCCCATGACCAATGGCCAGGAAATTATTTTCCTGACATTTCAGAGTTTAAGAAATAGAGAAACAATTGTAGGGTAAGTAGAGTTTGAATTAGGAGACCTGGATTTGGATCCTGGCTCTGCACTTGCCTGCCATTTGAACACACTGCGATCTTGAAGGATTTCAGTTTCCTCATCTATAAAATGAGAATAAGACCACCTGCCTCCCAGGGCAGTTGAGAGGATTAAATAAGATGACTTATGTGGAAGTATATGGCATACAATGCCTGACACATTACCATCTATTAACTTAGCCCGCATAATCATCCTGTGAGGCAGAGAACACAGGTATTAGCATCCCCTGTTCACAGATAAGAAAACCAGAAGGCTGGGCCGGGGGGCTCATGCCTGTAATCCCAGCACTTTGGGAAGCTGAGGCAGGTGGATCATTTGAGGTCAGGAGTTTGAGACCAGCCTCGTCAAAATGGTGAAACCCTGCCTCTACTAAAAATACAAATATTAGCCAGGCATTGTGGTTCACGTCTGTAATCCCAGCTACTCAGGAAGCTGAGGCAGGAGAATCACTTGGACAGGAGATGGAGGTTGCAGTGAGCTGAGATTGCGCCACTACACTCCAGCCTTCGGCAACAGAGCGAGACTCCATCTCAATACAATAAATTTTTTTAAAAAATAAAGAAAACTAGGAAGAAAAATGGTCAGAAAGAACCTGTATAAGGTCCAAGAGCCAGTGGTGATTTCGCTGTGCTGGTTTCACCACTCTCACTTGTCTGATGAATATTATCATAATGCCTTTAGAATTGTTAAATCTAAAGGCGACAAAATTATAGTTTACAACATAAATTCTGATAGTCTTTGTTTCTTTATGAGAAAATTTCATACTTCTGAAAAAAGTATTTTTCTACAGATGCTCATTTTGAAAGTTTGGGCCAGAGTGCCCATAATTTAAATTCTAATTTATATACATACTATATGTATGTATGTTCCCCTCCAATTAATTCTATGATTAATTACATATTTTGTTTATTGACTTATTTTTTACAATATGGCTTTCATCCCCCCCAAATCATCCTTTCTTTCCATTTGTCTTACAGATGAGGTAAGACAGACGTGTTTTCCTTTTGAGCTGTTAGAAGTGATACTGAGAAGCTGGACTGATTTTTCATTTAAAAGTTTCTAATAATTTGCAGTGTCTACCTCTGGGTCTTCGGCATCAATCTGGTTTAGGTGGATGTCTCCTGTTGTGAGCCACTGGAAAACAACATCCTAAAAAAAAAAAAAGTACATAATTAGGACAGTTGGTTATTTGAAAAAGCTGAAGGTCAGGACTACAGAATTACATCAAGAAAAATGATAAAGGAAAAAAGATTAAAGCAGTGATTCAGAAAAGGGTAGCCAGCCTTGAAATCATATGAGAACTCAAAGGTTTTTGTCACCCTAATGCAACTTTTTATTTATTTTCTTTTTTGAGACAGAGTTTCGCTCTGTTGCCCAGGTTGCAGTGTGGTGGTGTGATCTCGGCTCACTGCAACCTCTGCCTCCTGGGTTCAAATGATTCTCCCGTCTCAGCCTCCCGAGTAGCTGGGATTACAGGCACCTGCCACCAGGCCCGGCTGATTTTTGTATTTTTAGTAGATGGGGTTTCACCATGTTGGTCAGGCTGCCCTCAAACTCCTGATCTCAGGCGATCCGCCTGTCTCGGCCTCCCAAAGTGGTGGGATTATAGGCATGAGCTGCTGTGCCCAGCATAATGAAACTTTTATTATCAGAAATTTATAATTTATCTTTAAGCACTCTAACCTCTAGCCACAAGCTAAAATTTATTAACATTTGTTCACAATCCTGAATTAATCCCTGTTTACTGTGATGACAGTCTGAAATTAAAACTTTTGAAAAGTAGAATACCTAGGCCGGGCATGGTGGCTCATGTCTGTAATCTCAGCATTTTGGGAGGCTGAGGCGGATGGATCACCTGAAGTCAGGAGTTCCAGACCAGCCTGGCCAACATGGTGAAACCCTGTCTTTATTAAAAATACAAAAATTAGCCTGATGTGGTGGCGCACGCCTGTAATCCCAGCTACTCAGGAGGCTGAGGCAGGAGAATCGCTTGAACCGGCGAAGTGGAGGTGGCAGTGAGCCAAGATGGTGCCATTGCACTCCAGCCTGGGCAACAGAGAGAGACTCCATGTCAAAAAAAAAAAAGTAGAATATCTAGATCTCCCATAATGTATCTAGAGACGCTGAAACTTCATGTAAATTCCACAGAAATAAGGTCTTAATCAATCTCCCAATATAACAATTATAAGGCTGAAGTAATCTATTTTATGAAGGAAAAAGTTTGGCGGGCGTTTCTTTCTCTCACTGGAATCACCAATGGACAGCTCTGACACGTGCTGTACAGACATGTGCTTCCCCACTCTGCCATCCTCCATAAGACATGTTCCCTGGGTGTTTTTTTGATAAAACTGCAATGTCTTTATTTGCCACATCAGTCAGTGAGTGGTCCTCTACAGAACCCTTCCTAATTCCCATTCCATGCCACCGGCCCCTCCTCTCCACGCACACCTTCACTGCCGATACTCAGGTCCCTATTCTTTCTTGCCTGGTGACACCACCGCCTTCCTAACTGGCTCTAGGCTGCCTCCTCCTTTCCACCTTCCACACAACTGACAGAAAAATCTTTCCAAAACATTCCAGAAGTTCTTTCATAAACAATAACAACAACAAAAAGAAGAAACACAGACCTGGCTATGCCCAAGGCTGCTGAAAACCCAAGGGCTCCCTGTGGCTTTCAGAATCAAGTTCGAGCTCCTTGGTCTCACACGTGATACTGCTGTTGAGCTTGTTCCTCTCTGCTTCTCCAGGCTCAGCTCCCACCCCACCTGACATGCTCAGAAACACCCTTCTGGGTTTTCTAATTTGTCTCTCTCTCTCTCAATGTATTACAAACTTTTCCAAAGCAGGGACTATGCCTGACTCAACTTTGTATTCTCAGTGCCTGGCACAGACTGGGTTCTGAGTAGCTGGTTTTAAATAAGCAAATAAACTTACCAGTATTTTTTAAAATGACATGAAAATAATACTTACACATTGTACATTCATGTGATGAAACAAATAGCTTACCATGATTTTGCTGTTTTCTTCTTTGTCCAAATATTGATCACTGAACATGTGACATGAACCAAGCACTGCCAGCTTCCCACCTTGGTTCTATTGATGACAAAGCAGGGTCAGATACTCAAATCCGAAGATGCATCTCATGTATCCTAGTCCCCAGACACTTATCAGAATCACGCTAGCAACTGTCTTATATACTGAAGAGCGCCAATTCACACCCAGATTTTTTTTTTTTTTTGAGATGGAGTCTCGTTCTGTCGGCCAGGCTGGAATGCAGTGGTGCAATCTCCACTCACTGCAAGCTCCGCCTCCCGGGTTTATGCCATTCTCCTGCCTCAGCCTCCCGTGTAGCTGGGACTACAGGCGCCCACCACCACGCCCAGCTAATTTTTGTATTTTTAGTAGAGACGGGGTTTCACCGTGTTAGCCAGGATGGTCTCGATCTCCTGACCTCGTGATCTGCCCGCCTCGGCCTCCCAAAGTGCTGGGATTACAGGCGTGAGCCACCAGGCCCGGCCCACGCCCAGATTTTAAAGTTTAGAAATACCAACTATAGGCCAGGCGCAGTGGCTCAGCCTGTAATCCCAGCACTTTGGGAGGACGAGGTGGGCAGATCATCTGAGGTCAGGAGTTCGAAATCAGCCTGGCCAACATGGTGAAACCCCCATCTCTACTAAAAATAAAAAAAAAAATCAGCCAGGTGTGGTGGCATGTGCCTGTAGTCCCAGCTACTCAGGAGGCTGAGGCAGGAAAATCACTTGAACCTGCGAGGCGGAGGTTGCAGTGAGCTGAGATCACACCACGGCACTTCAGCCTGGGCGACAGAGTCAGACTCCATCTCAAAAAAAAAAAAAAAAAAAGAAATACCAACTATAATAACTACTACGCTTTAACCTCCCTTTCATTTTAGATATTTCTGTATTTTTCTATTTGGCTTTCAACAAAAACTAACATAAATTAATTCTACATTAGTTGGGTGTGGTGAGGCATACCTGTAGTCCTAGCTACTTGGGAAGCTGGGGCAGAAGAATCACTTGAGCCCAGGAGCTCGAGGTTACAATGAGCTATGACTGCACCACTGCACTCCAGCCTGGGAAACAGAGCGAGTCCCTGTCTCTAAAAATTAAAAAAAAAAAAAAAAAAAAAAAAAATTAAATTGGTTCTACAGCATTTTCCCACTGTTATTTATCTTATAAATGAAGATCATAATTTTAAAGGGAAAAAAAGATAAACTCAAAGACAGTCTGTACAGTTAAAGATACCTATGGGTACCAAAAAAAAAAAAAAATATTTAAGTAAGATCCAAATAGAAAGCTAAGGCAGGCCGGGCACAGTGGCTCACACCTATAATCCCAGCACTTTGGGAGGCCGAGGTGGGCTGATCGCCCCGAGATCAGTAATCTGAGACCAGCCTAGCCAACATGGGAGGCAAAACCCTGTCTCTACTAGAAATACAAAAATTGGCCGGGCGCGGTGGCTCAAGCCTGTAATCCCAGCACTTTGGGAGGCCGAGACGGGCGGATCACGAGGTCAGGAAATCGAGACCATCCTGGCTAACACGGTGAAACCCCGTTTCTACTAAAAAAATACAAAAAAAAAAAAAAAACTAGCTGGGCGAGGTGGCGGGCGCCTGTAGTTCCAGCTACTCGGGAGGCTGAGGCAGGAGAATGGCGTAAACCCGGGAGGCGTAGCTTGCAGTGAGCTGAGATCTGGCCACTGCACTCCAGCCTGGGTGACAGAGCGAGACTCCGTCTCAAAAAAAAAAAAAAAAAAAAAAAAGAAATACTACAAAAATTAGTTGGGGGTGGTGGCATGCGCCTGTACTCCCACAGCTACTTGGGAGGCTGTGGCGGGATGATTGCTTGAACCGGGGAGGTGAGGTTGCAGTGAACTGAGATCGTGCCACTGCACTCCAGCCTGGGCAACAGAGTAAGATTCAGTCTCAAAGAAAGCTAAGGCAAGGCTGGGCGCAGTAGCTCACACCTGTAATCCCAGCACTTTAGGAGAGCGAGGCAGGTGGATCACTTGAGGTCAGGAGTTCAAGACCAGCCTGGCCAAGATGGCGAAACCCCGTCTCTACTAAAAATACAAAAATTAGCCAGGCATGGTGGTACATGCCTGTAATCTCAACTACTCAGGAAGCTGAGGCACGAGAATCACTTGAATCTGGGAAGTGGAGGTTGCAGTGAACCAAAATCGCACCACTGCACCCTAGCCTGGGCGACAGAGTGAGACTCTGTCACAAAAAAAAAAAAAAAAGAAAACTAAGGCACAAGCATGAGTCATAAAACAACAACGGTTAATAAGAAAGATTTTCAATACTTGTAATTTTTAACAAATAAAAACAAAGTACTTTTGCCTATCGGATAAATAAATATGAAAAAATGATATAAACAGTGCTGGTCAAATTTTAGTGAAATAAGTTCTTTCACACATTGTTGTTGAAACTATTAACATATGCAACAAAAGCAGTCTGAAACATAAAAAATTCTATGCACAGTTGTGTAGTTAAAGTCACAAAAAATTAGAAATAAATCCAAATGTTCACAAAAAAGTAATTCAGAATGATGGAACCTTCTTCGGCAGTTAAATTTCATATTATAAAGGGTTTTCAGTAACATGGGAAAATGCTTCCAACAAATCATTGGGTTAAAAAAAAAAGTATAATTTTTTTTTTCCATTTTTAGAGACAGGGTTTCACTCTGTCTCCCAGGGTGGAGTGCAGTGGCACAATCATGGCTCACTGTAGCCTCGAGTGAGCCTTCAAGTGAGCCTTCAAGTGAGCCTCCTGCTTCAGCCTCCCAAGTAGCCAGGACTACAGGAGCACACCACCACACTCAGCTAACTTTTTTGTAGAGACAGGTCTTGTTATGTTGCCAAGGCTGGTCTCAAACTCCTGGCCACAAGTGATCCTACCTTCTTAACCTCTCAAAGTGCTAAGATTGTAGGCATGAGCCACCACGCTTGACCTATAGCATAAATTATATAGCTATCCTACTTTAAAGCTTGTGAGGCAAATAAATAAAAATAAGGCAAAGCAAAAGTGGGAGAGAGTGAAGAATATGTCAACCTGGGCTGTCTTAGAGTCTTGGAGTAGTGCAATGGGGGAATTTTTTTCTTCTGCTTTATCTCTGTATTGTTCAATTTTTCTACAATTATTGTAACATTTCTACAATATTACTTTTTTTTTTTTTGGCGACAGTGTCTTGCTCTACTGCCCAGGCTTGTCTTGCTCCACTGCCCAGGTGGAGTGCAGTGGTATGATCTTGGCTCACTGCAACCTCTGCTTTCAGGGTTCAAGCGATTCTCTTGCCTCAGTCTCTGGAGTAGCTGGGATTACAGGCACTCACCATCATGCTGGGCTAATATTTTTGTATTTTTAGTAGAGACAGGGTTTCACTATGTTGGCTAGGCTAGTCTCGAACTCCTGACCTCAAGTGATTCGCCCGCCTTGACCTCCCAAAGTGCTGGGATTACAGTTGTGAGCCACCACACCCAGCCCAACAATGAGCACATAACTACTTTTGTAATGAGAAAACCAGTTCAATAGTAAAACTACAAAATGAAATCGGTTTTTCTAGCTACATCACATACAGGGAACAGGCATAGTTATAATTTCCCCAGGAAAAGAATTACACTAAGCCAGAGATGTCAAGAGATATAAATACACACATTCCATACATTTTTTAAAAATTGGTTTAAAAAACTCTGACTTGTACCACATTAAAAGCAAATGCTACATAGTCTGCCACCACGCGTGGCTAATTTTTCAATTTTTTTTTTTTCTTTAAGACGGAGTCTCACTGTTTCCAGGCTGGAGTGCAGTGGCATGATCTCAGCTCACTGCAACCTCCTGGGTTCAAGCAATTCTCGTGCCTCAGCCTCCTGAGTAGCTGGGATTACAGGCACATGCCACCACACCCAGCTAATTTTTGTACTTTTAGTAGAGAGGGGGTTTCACCATGTTGGCCAGGATGGTCTTCATCTCCTGACCTTGTGATCCACCCGCCTTGGCCTCCCAAAGTGCTGGGATTACAGGCGTGAGCCACTACGCCCAGCCCAGGAGCTTTTAAATAAGGAGGGAAAGGTAATTCCTAGGTACTACAAAAAAAAATAGGATTGTTAAAAGCTACAGACATCGAGTTCCCTAGGAAAAAATTAGAAGATCAGCTGGTGAATTCTGTCTTAGGGGACAGATGAAGGTAAATTCAGCAAAATGTGAATTAAAACTCAGTGGGGGCTGGGCACAGTGGCTCATGCCCGTAATCCTAGCACTTTGGAAGGCCAAGGCGGGCAGACTGCCTGACTCAGAAGTTCAAGACCAGCCTGGGCAACACGGTAAATCCCCATCTCTACTAAAAATACAAAAACTAACAGGGTGTGGTGGTATAGCTACTCGGGAGGCTGAGGTGGGAGACTCGCTTGAACCCGGGAGGCAGAGATTGCAGTGAGCCAAGATTGCGCCATTCTACTCCAGCCTGGGCAACAGAGCTCGTGCCTGTAATCCCAGCACTTTGAGAGGCCGAGGTGGGCAGATCACTTGAGGTCAGAAGTTCGAGATTAGCCTGGCCACCATAGTGAAACCCCATCTCTTCCCAAAATACAAAAATTAGGCATGCATGGTGGCAGACACCTGTAATCCCAGCTACTCGGGAGGCTGAGGCAGGAGAATTGCTTGAACCTGGGAGGTGGAGGTTGCAGTGAGCCGAGATCACGCCACTGCACTCCAGCCTGCACAACAGAGTGAGACTCCATCTCACAAAAAAAGAAAGAAAGAAAAAGAAAGGCAATGGGATGTTGGGTCACTGCCTGGGACTAGCTGCACCCACATTTTTATGGGGTCTCTAGGATAATAACTGGAAAAATAGTTTTCTGATATATTTTCTTAGGATAAACTAAAATAACATCAACATAATTCTGTGCTATTTTGTGTAATATATTAACTCCATCTGTTCCTGAATGTATTCTCTTTACACTGAGGGTACAGCCCATAGTCACAGACAGGATTAAAAGTTACTTTAATCAATATGCTGCCATGGGATTGGAAAAAAAAAAAAAGTTATTTTAAAAGTTATAATACAGGTAGCCTCATGCTATAGTGGAAAAGCTTTGGGTTAAGAATAATAACGAGGCGGGCGGATCACAGGGTCAGGAAATCGAGACCATCCTGGCTAACATGGTGAAACCCCGTCTCTACTAAAAATACAAAATAAAAAATTAGCCGGGCGTGGTGGCGGGCGCCTGTAGTCCCCGCTACTCGGGAGGCTGAGGCAAGAGAATGGCGTGAGCCCGGGAGGCGGAGCTTGCAGTGAGCCAAGATCGCACCCCTGCACTCCAGCCTGGGTGACAGTGAGACTCCGTCTCAAAAAAAAAAAAAAAAAAAGAGCTAGGTTTAGGCCTTAACTTCATCAATTACTGGACAATCCACTGTTTCCCCATAAGCAAAATGTATATAGCTGAGATAGTCCTTTGCAGGACTGGCAGGATGACCAATGAGAAAATATATAAAAGCCTTCTGGAAATGGTCAGGTAGTTTTTATTTCAACAATAAAAATAATATCTATAACCACATTTAAGAAAGGCTGTACCTTTGAGTGATAGAAAGCCAGAATGGGTCTGTTAAGTGGGAAGCAGACAGAACCTGTAGACAGAACAGCCACTGCTGGTTTCATGACACTCAATGTGGCACCAAAAGGATACACAAAGGTGAGAGCCCTGTAAGAAATTAAAGAAACACATTCAAATTTTAAAAATATGAATACAAAAATTCTGAAAATAATCTCAATGTTTCTTCAGTAACACGCTTTTTTGAAACAGTCTCACTCTGTCACCCAGGCTGCAGTGCAGTGGTGTGATCTTGGCTCACTGCAGCCTCCGCCTCCCAGGTTTAAGTTGTTCTCCAGCCTCAGCGCCTGCTATCACACCCAGCTACTTTTTGTATTTTTAGTAGAGCCAGAGTTTTACCATGTTGGCCAGGATGGTCTTGAACTCCTGGCCTCAAGTGATATGCCTGCCTCGGCCTCCCAAACTGCTGGGATTACAGGTGTGTGCCACTGCGCTCAGCCGAGTAACACTCTTTGATTCATTATCAAACAAAATTTTTTCTAAGCTTTGGTTTGTTAACTTAAAAACTGGGACAACTCTAGCTACACATTTAATAAAGCATTTTAACAAACATGAAAGTAAATTCATAGGAAAGTGGAAATGACTGTTACTGGGAGAACTAAACTAGCCCCTGATGGAGGAAGGAGGAAAAGGATGGGGCCTCATCCAAGAACTAAACTCCAGCTGCTCTGCATAATAACATCTTAGTGGTAAATACATTCTTCTTCCTTGGGTTTGGCTGGTGCTGTATCTAAGAATGAATGTCTGTCACTGGAAGGGCATGTTACCAGTTGAATGTCACATGGACAGAGGCATAAATATACGCTACGATGGACACTTCTACACAGATCTGCTTTGCAGTCCCTTCTACTCTCCACTGTCCTAACAAAGACTTGTCTTAGATTATCTAGAGTGAATTGGTCTGACCTGGGGCGATGTACTCCTGGAGAGGGTGTGGGATAGAGGAGCAAAGGCGCGGTGCAGATCCTGGGGTAAGGCCAACCTATGCAGGAGGGGCTAGGGTTTTACTGAAAGATGGAGCTCCGCAAAGCTTGAAGGAAGTGCTCTCAGAATGGAGAGAAACAGAGATCTCAAGACCAGAGCATAAGGTTAGAAACATGGAAGCACCCATGAGGAGTACCTCATAGAGATTTTAATTTCCCTTTTTCTTTAGACCACAAAAATTCTTTTCAGCTTAAGTTTAAAATTATTTCCCTCCAGTGATTTTGTTTGATTGTTTTGTTTTGTTTTTTTATCTCACTTTGTTACCCAGGCTAGAGTGCAGTGGCATGAACATGGCTCACTGCAGCCTCAATCTCCTGGGCTCAAGCGATTCTCTTGCCTTAGCGCCCTGAGTAGCTGGGACCACAGGTGCATGCCACTACACCAACTAATTTTTCTATTTTTTGTAGAAACAGGGTTTTGCCATGTTGCCCAGGCTGGGTCTTGAACTCCTGAGCTCAGGCAATCTGCCCACTTTGACCTACCAAAGTGCTGGAATTATAAGCGTAAACCACTGGGCCCGGTCTGCCTCCAGCGTTAATCTTCCCCATTCCTTCAGTAAAGTCTCATCTACCCTATGACTTTGTTATCATACCATGAAAGAGAAGTGGTACCTGGCCCACATTCTCCAAACTCCGCCTTCTACCCTTACTTCAGCAGTATCCCAGCAAGGTGGATTACAGCCCACGATCTCTGGGCCAGAAGTAGAAGAAAACAAGCAGTTGTCCATGGAGAAAGAAAAGGGAGGGGGGAGAAATAGTCATATGGAGGTCAACACACATCTATCCCCAACACTTTCCCCAAATGCAATAAATGGAAAGTGATTCTCAAGGCATAAGGGAGAATGGACACTTGAGAAGTAAGATAAAAACTATCTGCTATTATTATTGTTGTTATTATTTTGAGACGGAATTTTGCTCTTGTCGCCCAGGCTAGAGTGCAATGGCGCAATCTCAGCTTACAGAAACCTCTGCCTCCCGGGTTCAGGCAATTCCCATCCCTCAGCCTCCCAAGTAGCTGAGATTACAGGCGCGCACCGCCACGCTCAGCTAATTTTTGTATTTATAGTAGAGATGGGGTTTCACCACGTTGGTCAGGCTGGTTTCAAACTCCTGACCTCAGGTGATCCACCTGCCTCAGCCTCCCAAACTGCAAGTGTGAGCCACTGTGCCTGGCCTATCTGCTATTATTTACACTCCTCTATTTCTTTAATTACTACTAAAAAAATCAATGAGACTAGGCCAGGCACAGTGGCTCACACCTGTAATCTCAGCACTTTGGGAGGTTGAGGCGATGGATCACCTGAGGTTAGGAGTTCAAGATCAGCCTGGCCAACATGGTGAAGTTCTGTCTGTACTCAAAATACAAAAGTTAACCAGGTATGGTGACGGGCATCTGTAATCCCAGCTACTCAGGAGTCAAGGGAATTGCTTGAACCCAGGAAGCAGAGGTTGCAGTGAGATGAGATGGTGCCATTGCACTCCAGCCTGGGTGAAACTCTGTCTCCAAAAAAAAAAAGAAAGAAAGAAAAAAAAGAAATAAATGAGACTGACATTTTGATAAGACTTAGTATAAACTTAAACACCCATTCCCCAAACAGAACTTTCCAAACCACATGTGAATGAGTAAGATTAGCTCAGTGAAAAGTTTCAGAAAGAGTTTTCCTAAAAGAGGGACTAGCTTGTGTAAAGTCCCTAAGATGAGTACGAGCTTCGCTTATTTAAGGATTGAAAACAAAGTCAGTATGGCTACAGCAGAGTGAGAGAAGGGAGAAGGGACATAACAGGAAATAAGGATAAAGGAGAATCTGAGACTCCAACAGGCAAAGATACTTCAAAGCACGATGGAGGACTAGTCCATCTCTCAAAGCCTACCAGGAAGCTGTGTTTCCTGGATAATCCAGGAAAGGAACAACCAGACATATTCCCTTCACTATAATTAATTACAAAGTCATATGCAACAACAGGTAAGGTACTATGCTTTAAACTTTACAAAGCACTTTCACAAATATCACCTCACTGAAATTTTCCAACGATTTTGTAATGTTAACATTGTCCCCATTACACAGATAGGGAAACAGACACTAACAGTTACTATGCCTTGGGTCACCCTTGGCAAGTAAGAGAGGGAATCAGGAACTTCTAATAATTCCTTCTAACTCCAAGTCTACAGTTTTTTTTACCTATACCAATTGGATGAGCTGATACAAAGTGAAATAATTAGATTGATTCCTTTTTTTTTTTTTTTTTTTGAGACGGAGTCTCGCTCTGTCGCTCAGCTCACTGCAAGCTACGCCTCCCGGGTTTACGCCATTCTCCTGCCTCAGCCTCCCGAGTAGCTGGGACTACAGGCACCCGCCACCTCGCCCGGCTAGTTTTTTGTATTTTTTAGTAGAGACGGGGTTTCACCGTGTTAGCCAGGATGGTCTCGATCTCCTGACCTCGTGATCCGCCCGTCTCGGCCTCCCAAAGTGCTGGGATTACAGGCTTGAGCCACCGTGCCCGGCCTTTTTTTTTTTTTTTTTTGAGATGGAGTCTTGCTCTGTCGCCCAGGCTGGAGTGCAGTGGCGCGATCTTGGCTCACTGCAAGCTCCGCCTCCCGGGTTCACACCATTCTCTTGCCTCAGCCTCCCAAGTAGCTGGGACTAAAGGTGCTCGCCATCACGCCCAGCTAATTTTGTTTTTTGTTTTTGTTTTGTTTTGTTTTGAGACGGGGTTTCACCATGCTAGCCAGGCTGGTCTCTAACTCCTGACCTCGTGATTCTCCCGCCTCGGCCTCCCAAAGTGCTGGGATTACAGGTATGAGCCACTGCACCCAGCCTAGATTGATTCTTGACAGTCAAAAATATTAACTATGAATTATATTGCTACACATATTCCCCCTTATGACTTGACTTTGGTTTCTACTAAGAAAGGTCTTCCCTACTTCAAGAATTTAAAATATTCACCTACTTTTTTTAAGTACTTTTTTTTTTTTTTCTGAGTTGGTTGTCTCGCTCTGTCACCCAGGCTTAAGTGCAGTGGTGCGATCTCAGCTCATTGCAACCTCCGCCTCCCGGGTTCAAGCAATTCTCCTGCCTCAGCCTCCCGAGTAGCTGGGATTACAGGTTTGTACCACCACATTTGGCTAAGTTTTGTATTTTTTAGTAGAGATGGGGGTTGGCCAGGCTCGTCTTGAACTCTTAACCTCAGGTGATCTGCCTGTCTCAGTCTCCCAAAGTGCTGGGATTACATGCGTGAGCCATCGTACCTGGGTTTCTTTAAGTACTTCTATGCTTTCTTTTTAAATTAAATTAAATTTAATTTAATTTTTATTTTATTTTTTCGAGATGGAGTCTTGCTCTGTTGCCCAGGCTGGAGCGCAGTGGTGCGATCTCGGCTCACGGCAACCTCTGCCTCCTGGGTTCAAGCAATTCTCCTGCCTCAGCCTCCTGAGTAGCTGGGATTACAGGCGTGCACCACCACACCAGGCTAATTTTTTTTTTTTTTTTTGAGACAGAGTTTCGCTCCTGTTGCCCAGGCCAGAGTGCAATGGCATGATCTTGGCTCAATGCAACTTCCACCTCCCGGGTTCAAGTGATTCTCCTGTCTCAGCTTCCTGAGTAGCTGAGATTACAGGTGCCTGCCACCATCCCTGGCTAATTTTGTATTTTTATAGAGATGGGGTTTCACCATGTTGGTCAGGCTGGTCTCAAACGCCTGATCTCAGGTGATCTGCCCACCTCAGCCTCCCAAAGTGTTGGGCTTACAGGCGTGAACCACTGCACCCGGCCTAATTTTTGTATTTTTAGTACAGACAGGGTTTCACCATATTGGCCAGGCAGGTCTTGAACTCCTGACCTCATGATCCATCTGCCTCAGCCTCCCAAAGTGCTGGGATTACAGGCATGAGCCACCGCGGCCGGCATATGCTTTCATTTTTAATATTAAAAGTTTTAGCCTATCCAGAATACATTTTGGGGTGCAGTATGAAAATGAAACTATTTCTCCAAATGGTTACCCAGAATTATGCCATCCATTTCTAATATTTGAAATGCCACTTTTACTATACACAAATAACCCCCACCCTCCATATATGTTTTTGGTCTAATTTTAATCTGTATTATTTATTTTCTTTTAACTATTTCTGGACTACGACCACATTTTATTTATTTATTTATTTATTTATTTATTTATTTATTTTTTGAGACAGTCGTGCTCTGTCACCCAGGCTGCAGTATAGTGGCATGATCATGATTCACTGCAGCCTCGACCTTCTGGGTTCAAGCAATCCTCTTGCCTCTGCCTCTAGAGTAGCTGGGACTATGGGTTTGTGCCACCACATATGGCTCATCTTTAAAGTTTTTTTTTTTTTTTTTTTTTTGTAGAGACAGGGTCCCACTATGTTGCCCAGACTGGTCTTGAACTCTTTTTTTTTTTTTTTTTTTTTTTTTTGGAGACGGAGTCTCGCTCTGTCGCCCAGGCTGGAGTGCAGTGGCGCGATCTCGGCTCACTGCAAGCTCCGCCTCCCGGGTTCACGCCATTCTCCTGCCTCAGCCTCCCGAGTAGCTGGGACTACAGGCGCCCACAACCGCGCCCGGCTAATTTTTTGTATTTTTAGTAGAGACGGGGTTTCACCGTGGTCTCCATCTCCTGACCTTGTGATCCACCCGCCTCGGCCTCCCAAAGCGCTGGGATTACAGGCATGAGCCACTGCGCCCGGCCTTGAACTCTTGGCCTCAACCCATCGGCCCATCTCGACCTCCCAAAGTGCTGGGATTATAGGTGTGAGCCACTGCACACAGCCAATCACATTATTTTATTTTTTAATTTCATTTTATTTACATATTTTTTGAGACAGGGTCTCATCTGTCACCCAGGCTGGAGTGCAGTGGCACGATCTCAGCTCACTGCCACCTCTGCTTCCCGGGTTCAAGCAATTCTCCAGCCTCAGTCTCCCGTGTAGCTGGGAATACAGGTGTGAGCCACCAATGCCCGGCTAAATTTTTGTATTTCTTTGTAAAGCCAGGGTTTTGCCATGTTGCCCAAGCTGGTCTTGAACTCCTGAGCTCAAGTGATCTGCCTGCCTCAGCCTCCCAAAGTATTGGGATTACAGGGGTGAGCCACAGTAACCGGACCACATTATTTTCACTACTAAAACTTTGTAACATGCTTTAATTACATAAAAATGTCAATTTTTATTGGGTAAAATATTTCAAAGTATGGAGGCATTATAAATGAATGCAAAAAGACAAATCATCAATAGAAAAATGGCCAAAAAGCAGTGAACATGAAATTCACAGAAGAAATACAATCAGCCAGTAGACTTTAAAGGTCATCCTATGCACTAATAATTTTTAAAAATGCAAATTTAAAGAAACAGATACCATGTTTACTAGAATACTCCGTGCTAGCAAGAGAGGAAAAAGGGGTGTGCTCATAGGGACTGTCAGTGGTACCACCTCCCTGAGAGACATCTGGTAATACACTACATTTGGTAACCCATCTGTTGGAAGACCTCTGACCCAGAAATTTCAATGCTGAGAAATTTACCCTAAAAAATACTACCACAAGTGCACAAAACTGTACATACAAAGATGTTCACTTATCCCAGCACTTTGGGAGGCTGAGGCAGGTGGATTACCTGAGGTCAGGAGTTCAAGACCAGCCTGACTGACATGGTGAAACCCCATCTCTACTAAAAATACAGAAATTAGCTGGGTGTGGTGGTGGACACCTGTAATCCCAGCTACACAGGAGGCTGAGGCGGGAGAATCGCTTGAACCTGGGAGGTGGAGGTTGCAGTGAGCTGAGATTGTGCCACTGCACTCCAGCCTGGGTGACAAAGTGAGACTCCGTCTCAAAAAAAAAAAAAAAAGATGTTCATTTGTGCTTTATTATTTATAATAACAAATATAATTTTTTTTTTTTTAAGATGAAGTCTCCCTCTGTCCCCCAGGCTAGAGTGCAGTGGTGCGACGGCAGCTCACTGCAACCTCTGCCTCCCAGGTTCAAGCGATTCTCCTGCCTCAGCCTCCCAAGTAGCTGGGATTATAGGCGCCCACCACCACGCCCGGCTAAATTTTCTATTTTTAGTAGAGACGGGGTTTCGCCATGTTAGCCAGGCTGGTTTCAAACTCCTGACCTCAGGTGATCCACTCGCCTTGGCCTCCCAAAGTGCTGGGATGACAGGAGTGAGCTACCACACCCGGCTATAAAATTGTTTATAACAATAATACAGAACAGAAGTTAAGAGTGCAGGCTCTAGAATAGACTGCCTATGGTTGCATCTAAGTTCTGACACAGAGTAGTCATGTGCATTTGGGCAATTATGTCTCTGTATCTCATCTCTAACTTTCCAGAGTTGTAAGGATTAAATGAGGTAATACATGCCTGTCACACAGTCAATGTTTGACAAACATCAGGTGGTATTATTAAAGAAAAACATTATAAACTACTTAAATGTCCAATAATAGGGAGTTGGTTAGATAAACTGGGATAGATCCAATTTAATCCAGTCATTAAAAAGGAAGAGGTACTTACCTATAACTTTATAAATGGAAAAAAAACCCCTAGAAATCTAAATACCATATGGAGTATTGCTCTGTTGCCGAGGCTGGAGTGCAGTGGTGCAATCTGGGCTCACTGCAACCTCCACCTTCAGGTTTCAAATGATTCTCCTGTCTCAGCTTCCCGAGTAGCTGGGACTACAGGCACACACCACCACACCTGGCTAATTTTTGTAGTTTTAGTAGAGATGGGATTTTGCCATGTTGGTTATGCTCATCTCAAACTCCTGACCTTAGGTGATTCACCCGCCTCGGCCTCCCAAAGTGCTGGAATTACAGGCGTGAGACACCGTGCCAGGCCTAAATACTATATTATTAAGACTACCTTCAGGGGGAGGAGCATGGACTTACAGTGCAGAGCTTCTACTTTTTTTCCTCTTGAACTGTTCAAATTCTGATTATTTTTGTAACCAGAAACAAAAGCTCTTTTCATTTTGAAAAAGAAGACTCTTCAAAATGATACATCCTCCTCATGTGGCATCAGAAAACACACTCACTGGGCATTGTTTCCACTGCTTTCCTCATCAATGATCCCAGGCACAGCCTTTCCTGCAGCTCGGCTAATTTCCCTTGAAGAAGAAAAATTAAAATCTAGTAAACAAAAAAAATTTGAGAATTTCACACTGTATTCATTAGCACAGTAAATATGAGGCTAAGGTGGGAGGATTGCTTAAGCCTGGGAGGTCAAGGCTGCAGTGAACTGTGTTCCCACCACTGCATTCCAGCCTGAGCAACAGAGCAAGACTCTGTCTCAAAAAATACATACATATATATATATAAATAAAAAATAAGTTGAATGTGAAGTAAGTTTCAAAAGATGAAGAAAAATAATTTGATGAATGAGTAGTAATATAGTAAAATAAATTATAACAACATAAAAAAAGAAAGAAGAAGGGGCAGTGAAAAGAATGTGTGAGAAGAGATGAGGGAAGATTTATGTAGAAGAAATGAGAGTTATGTGTAAGGATATTTCTGCTTTATTTATTTTTTGAGACGGAGTCTTGCTCTGTCACCCAGGCCAGAGTACAATATCACAATCTCAGCTCAATACAACCTCTGCTTCCCAGGCTCAAGCGATTCTCCTGCCTCAGCCTCCCGAGTAGCTGGGATTACAGGCGCCTGCCACCATGCCTGGCTAATTTTTTTGTATTTTTAGATGGGGAGATGGGGTTTCATGTTGGCCAGGCCCGTTTTGAACTCCTGATCTCAAATGATCCGTCAGCCTTGGCTTCCCAAAGTGCTGGGATTACAGGCGTGAGCAGCGACACCTGGCCAAGATATTTCTGCTTTCAACATGCTTACCTGTTCAAGACTCCACTGGAAACTAGAGCTTCTTTAGGATGGAAATATTTGTGATATACATTTCTAACCACAGCATCTATGAGGGAAAAACAGAAGGAGGTATATTTTAGGTTAGAAATAAGTTTGATATTATAGACTCATACCAATTTTTACCTGAAAGGCACCCTGGAACTTGGTTCCAATCCATCTCACTTTATAAATGGAAGCAGCCCAAACCTAGGAGGCTCAGACTGCTGATGAGAATGGAACATTAAAACATGCATACACAGCCCAGGGCTTTTTCCATTATGCCACTGGACCTAGAGGGCTATGATATAAAATAATAGATAGAAAATTACTGCCTCTACTGAAAATAATAATACTAATTACCATTATTAACCATGATTCCATATTCTTCCAGTAAAAAGTTAATATTGGTGTCAAATCTGGATTCTCCACCTTCTCCTAGCATCACAAGGACATCTCCACCGCTGTCAAGATATTTCTTCAGGATTTCAAACTACACAAAGGAAAAAAGCAATCTATGAATATACTCAAAAGACTTTTGCCCGAAATACCATAAGATCTTAACTAGATGAAAAATAAATACTTCAAATCTATAAGGCATTTACATATAAATGTATATGAGATAAAAAGAACTCTCTATGTAGGATCTCCAAGCTTGTCTCTGAGCATAAAGCTCCAAAATACTCAAAGTAAACTTACAGTTTCAAAGCTATCAGACAGCAAGTCAAAAGTGAAAAACTTAACTAAAGGAAGCGCTCAGTTCTCCATTCAGAGGCACCCCTGGTCTCCACCTACTAACCAAAAATGTCTCTTGAGATTGCCACGTTCCCTCAGGAGAAGAAGAAATAGAATCACCCTGGTTAAGAACCACTAATTTAGACAACGCCTTCTCTTGACGGCCCACAGAGGATATCAGGATGAACACATTTCATACCACACCTGGGAGAAATTCTGTTCAAGGTCATTGACCAACTACACCATAGACAGAAATGCATGTTTTCTGTTTATCTCCTGGAAGCTCTCTCTTGTTTTCACAAAGCTGGGGATGGGAGAAAAATCTAGGGTTGATCTTGCTGGTCTAGCCTGAGAAAATCTGGGGTGGGTGGTCCAGACAAACAGTTTCTTAACTCTCTTCATCAAGCACTCCAGCAGAAAAAAATCTGAACATGTATATAAATACATCCAATATGTATGTATCTCTATACAAAATATGCACTTTATAATTTAAAACAACTCTCAAAAAGAAAATGTTTTAAGGGTAATGAAAATATGAATAATAAACGTAATTTCCTTCTGGCACCCCATTGATTGATCACATGCATCCTACTTTGGAAACTACTGCCCAGACTAGCTTTGCCACAGCAAGGCCCTCTTGCTCTTGCATGCTCCCTGAATTTTCCTCTCCCCCTGACTTCGCCACACTGCATAAAACAAATGAATCTGGCCGGGCACGGTGGCTCATGCCTGTAATCCCAACACTTTGGGAGGCCGAGGCGGGCAGATCACGAGGTCAGGAGATCGAGACCACGGTGAAACCCCGACTCTATTAAAAATAAAAATAAAAAAAATTAGCTGGGCGTGGTGGTGGGTGCCTGTCATCCCAGCTACTCGGGAGGCTGAAGCAGGAGAATGGCGTGAACCTGGGAGGCGGAGCTTGCAGTGAGCCAAGATTGCGCCACTGCACTCCAGCCTGGGCAACAGAGTGAGACTCTGTCTCAAAAACAAAAACAAAAACAAAACAAATGAATCTTTGGAAGCCAAGTAGGCAGATCACCTGAGGTTAGGAGTTCAAGATCGGCTTGGCCAACATGGTGAAACCCCATCTCTACTAAAAACACAAAACTTAGCCAGGCATGGTGGTATGCACCTGTAGTCCCAGCTACTCAGGAGGCTGAGAGCGGGGAATTGCTTAAACCCAGGTGGTGAAGGTTGCAGTGAGCTGAGATCGCACCACTGCATTCCAGCCTGGGCAAAAGAGCAAGATTCCGTCTCAAAAATGAAACACAATAAAAAAACAAAACAAAATAAAAAAATGAATTATTTCAAAATCAAAATTAAGGTGAGGCACAGTGGCTCACGCCTGTAATCCCAACACTTTGGGAGGCTAAGGTGGGTGGATCACTTGAGGTCAGGAGCTCGAGACCAGCCTGGCCAACATGGTGAAACCCCGTGTCTACTAAAAATACAAAAAATAGCCAGGTGTGTTGGCAGATGCCTGTAATTCCAGCTACTCAGGAGGCTGAGGCAGGAGAATCAGTTGAACCTGGGAGGCGGAGGTTGCAATTAGCTGAGAATGCACCAATGCACTCCAATCTGGCAACAGAGCAAAACTCTTGTCTAAAAAAAAAAAAAAAAAAAAAAAAATCAGCTCAAAGTCCATTTCCTCTGGGCCCAATAATCCAATGCCTCTTTTCTGTGCTTCTGTAGAAATGTGGAACTTAGAACATTGATCATTATCAGTAGATGGTCCATTTGTTTCATTTCCCCTAGACTATCAGTTCCTAGAATGGAGAGATCAAGTGCTATTTGACTTTGATCCCTAGCGTTAGTCCTAGAACCTGGCACATAACTAGGTACATAACAGATCCTTAGTAAATATTTTTTGGAACAACAACAGAAAAACAAAACAAATGGGTTATAACTGCATGGATCCTGGACCCTGAACAACAGACTGAATCTCTCCCTAAATTCATCTTCCTTTTTCTTCCTTTTGATTTCCTCTCAAACTCCTCTTCCCAGATAGCCGTAAATATATGCTATGTTCTATGACTGATAACAGCAAGCCAGATCTAGTTTGCAATATATATTCTCAGAACATAGCTTTCACTTGGGAAATTCTACTGGGACTTGGTATTTATGATTATGTGGTTCTGGGATTTGTCCATGTTGCCTAAATGCAATGAGTGTACAGTAAGTATTAGTATCTACTGTGTCCTATTGGCCATCTGGCATTGGAAGAAAAAGACACATGAAGGACGTGGTGTGCAATAACACAGATGGGCAAAAGTTGAAGGAGCTTCCACGAATTAATTATGACCCAGTTTCCAGCTCTGCATGTAAGTGAGACCCTTCTAACAAAAGAACAGATATTTGGTACAAATTGGAGGTTTCTTATTTCTTTATCGCAAAAACAGGAAGAAAGATTAATTTTACAGACTTAAATTTTAGAAATTGGCTTAGAATGCATTCACACTGTTAAGTTTTACAGTGTGGCAGCAAATGTGAGATATTTCATGTAATCAAGACTGGGTGATCCAGGCCAGTGGCTCTCAGTGGAGGCATTTAAATCATCTAGCATGTATTATGGATCACCATAATATTAATATTAATACGGCATAATATTAATGCCATAATGTTAATGTTTAAGAACATTTTAGTGGGTGAAGGGCAGGGAAGTTAAGGTCCTGCAATATTCAGACCAGTCCCACACAGTAAAGAACTGTTTCACATGAGAAGACATGACTATCTTCTCAGATAGTCACATAGGTTTAAAAAAGAAAAAGCAAACAAACAAATGAAGCTTAGCCTAAAATCTAACTCCAATTTATTTATTTTTTTTGAGATGAAGTCTCGCTCTGTCACCCATGCTGCAGTGGCTCAATCTCGGCTCACTGCAACTTTCACCTTCTGGGTTCAAGTGATTCTCCTGCCTCAGCCTCCTGAGTAGCTGTGACCACAGGCGCCTGCCACCACACCCAGCTAATTTTTGTATTTTTAGCAGAGACAAGGTTTCACCATGTTGGCCAGGTTGATCTCAAACTCCTGACCTAAGGTGATCCACCCGCCTCGGCCTCCCAAACTCCTGGGATTACAGGAGTAAGCTACTGCGCCCAGCCCAAATTATACGTAAATACTGCACAAAGTATTTTTTGCACAACTTAACATATACTGAATTCCCAGGTACCCAACTACCATGTAAACTGAGAGAAGAATTATACTCTTTTTATTAATAGAACTTTACCAAGAGTTAGTCAATATTTTGGAAAAATCACATCACCGACAGCAACACGGCTCATGATTTGAATTGCCAATACATCACTTCCTCCAGTCTGCATATGTAGCTATCCCATTCATGGGAATTCTATACATTTATTACACATTTATTTCAAAATGTCAAACATAAAGAAGTGTTCTAATGTATGTATGACCAAGCATTAACAAACTGAAATATGTATATTCTCCTAGTATATATATGCCTAAACATTTACAATTTGAAATACATATATTCTTTCATAAATCATCCTCTAATTTATGTACATTAAAGTTAGGAAGCTGTATTGCTTTACTTTTTTAATGGTGGTGGTTTAGATTATCTTTGCATTTCAATTCAGGGTAACAAAGTTGGCACTGGTAATATAGGTGGATGCTGGTCTGTTAGGGTTGGAAAATACTCGTCTCAGCCATGTGGTTACCTGGTCGTAACTGAATACCACCACAAAGCTAGTCTGATGCGTTAATGCAGTTGAGGTGGAAATAAGGGAAGACTGTTCAGCCTAGTTTCTAGCCTGATACTAGCACCAAATATCAGACATATGATGTCTGTCCTGTCACAGAAGTTTCTGGAAGCCAACATGAAAAAGGCATCACACAGCTCTCCAGGGGTAACAGTCTAGGAGGCCAGCAGCTATGACAAGGAAAGCAGTGATCTCACCAGCATGAGCCTATTGGAAGAACTGTAACACAAGGGCATGCTGGTTCCTAGAAAAAAAAGCTAATAGCTTTTCTCCCTTTTCTTCCCACCTCACTCCAACTCCAAAGAGAAGGCATGGTGTCAGGGACTGGTCTGGGAGAGGACGTTTTATTAGGATAAAGTTACATCAGACTTGCCTCTCGAAGGACTTGTGTCTCTTGGATGCAACAGCCTTCCATCCCTGGAAGCCCAAACTAAGGCTTGGCCTGGCACCCATCTCCACTTGGGAAAAGGCCCAGGCACCAAGTTCTGACCCTCTCTCTGGATGCCCCTGTGTTCCCGAGGCTGGTTGGTTCCTGGCAAACATCAGGCCAACTCTCACTGGCTTCGCTAGGTGGATGGGGAGATGGAGCCAAAGCCCAACAAGTAATAGAGTGTTGCTCTGCAGGCCACTGCCCTCTGTGTGTACATTTCCCTCAAGGTCTCAGTGGGTTGGAGTTGCTGGTTACTTCCACAATGCCAATGGTAATTCCTACTCCTTCTGTCAATTAACCTGATCAAACAATCATGTCTCTCTCCATGCCATTCCCAGAGGGGAAGCTCGCCTTGCAATCAAATTGAGAAACAAAGGACACTAGAAATGCTCCCCATTGGACCTCTTCCCCATGGCACCACCCAGAGAAACAGCAGGAGACCGTGGCTGGCCTCAATCTAAGGACCACATTGGCCTTGCCCTGCCTCATCCTCCCTACTCCCCATATTCTCTCTGAGCACAAAGGTACTTCCCATTCTCTGTAAAATGGCTCTTTCTATGTTCTGGGATTTTTGTTTTATTGACTGTGAAAAAACACACCTAACTTTTCCTAAATTTACCATCTTAACCATTCTGAAGTATATAGTTCAGCAGTTTTTTTTGTTTTCTCTTTTCAGACAGGGTCTCTGTCGCCCAGGCTGGAGTGCAGTGGCGCAATCTCGGCTCACCGCAACCTCTGCCTCCCATGTTCAAGCGATTCTCCCGCCTCCACCTCCCAAGTAACTGGGAGTACAAGCGTGCGCCACCACGTCGGCTAATTTTTGTATTTTTAGTAGAGATGGGGTTTCACCATGTTGGCCAGGCTGGTCTCGAACTCCTAGCCTCAAGTGATCCACCCACCTTAGCCTACCAAAGTGCTGGGGTTAGAGGTGTGAGCCACTGTGCCTGGCCTAGTCCAGCAGTATTAAATATACTCACACAGTTGGGCAACCAATCTGCAGAACTGCTTTCATCTTGCAAAACTGCAACTCTATACCTATTAAACAGCAACTCTCCATTCCCCACTTCCCCCAGGTCCTGGCAATCACCACCCTTCTATTTTCTGTCTCTACAAATTCGACTACTCTACATACCTCATGCTTGCATAAGTGAAATACAGTATTTGTCTTTTAGTGTCTGCCTTATTTTCATCTGGCATAATGTCCTCAAGATTTATTCATGTTGTAGCATGTATCAGAATTATCTTCCTATTTAAGACTGAATAATACTCCATTGTATGTATATACCATATCTTATCTATTCATCTGCCAATGGATACTTGGGCTATTTCCACATTTTGGCTATTGTGAATAGTGCTGCTAAGAAGATAGGTGTGCAATTATCTCTTTGAGATCCGGTTTTCCATTCTTTTGAGCATATACCCAGAAGTGGAATTGCTAGATCATATGGCAGGCTTTTTTTTTGTTTTTTTTTTTTGAAATGGAGTCTCCCTCTGTTGCCCAGGCTGGAGTCCAGTGACCCGATCCCTGCTCACTGCAACTCTGCCTCCCAGGTTCAAGTGATTCTCCTGCCTCAGCCTCCCAAGTAGCTGGGATTACAGGTGCACACCATCACGCCTGGCTAATTTTCGTATTTTTAGTAGAGACGGGGTTTCACTATGTTGGCCAGGCTAGTCTCAAACTCCTGACCTCAAGTGATCCACACGCCTCAGCCTCCCAAAGTGCTGGGATTACAAGCATGGGCCATCACACACAGCCATCATATGGCAATTTTATGCTTAAATTTTTGAGGAACTGCCATACTGTTTTTCATGGTGACTGCACCATTTTACATTCCCACCATCAGTGTGGAAGGGTTCCAATAACTTCCCATTCTCACCAATACTTGTCATTTGTATTCTGGGCCTTACATTTATCATTCTTTATCCATTCCATAAACCAGAATAATAAATATCTTTATTTTAAATGGAATTTTCCTTTTTTTTTTTTTTCTGAGATGGAGTTTTGCTCTTGTTGCCCAGGCTGAAGTGCGAATAGCACAATCTTGGCTCACAGTAACCTCCGCCTCCTGGGTTCAAGCAATTCTCCTGCCTCAGCCTCCCGAGTAGCTGGGATTACAGGAACACGTCACCAGGCCTGGCTAATTTTGTATTTTTAGTAGAGATGGGGTTTCTCCATGTTGGTCAGGGTGGTCTCGAACTCTCGACCTCAGGTGATCCACCTGCCTCGGCCTCCCAAAGCGCTGGGATTACAGGTATGAGCCACCGCACCTGGCAGAATTTTCCTATTTTCAAAGCAAAAATATAGCAAAGAAGTGTGGCTAGTGGCCGGGCCCAGTGGCTCACGCCTATAATCCCAGCACTTCGGGAGGCTGAGGTAGGCAGCATAAGGTCAGGAGTTTGAGACCAGCCTGGCCAATATGGTGAAACCCCGTTGCCACTAAAAATACAAAAATTAGCCAGGCGTGGTGGTGGGCACCTGTAGTCCCAGCTACTCAGGAGGCTAAGGCAGGGAGAATTGCTTGAACCCGGGAGGCGGAGGTCGCCGTGAGCTGAGATTACGCCACTACACTCCAGCCTGGGTGACAGAGTGAGACTGTCTCAAAAAAAAAAAAAAAAAAGAAATGTGGCTAATATTTAATTGGCCCACACTATGTGTTTGATACTTTACATGAAGCATCTTGGTTAATCATCACAATTCCATGATGAAAAGAGAGATGAAGTGACTACCTTAAGGCCACACAGTAAGTGGTGAAGGAGGATTCAGATCCAGTATTTCAGAGCCCAGGCTCTTAATCATTTCACCATATTCCTTCTTTTTTTTTTTTTTTTGTTTTTTTTGTTTTTTGTTTTTTGTTTTTTTTTTTTTGAGACGGAGTCTCGCTCTGTCGCCCAGGCTGGAGTGCAGTGGCCGGACCTCAGCTCACTGCAAGCTCCGCCTCCCGGGTTCACGCCATTCTCCTGCCTCAGCCTCCCGAGTAGCTGGGACTACAGGCGCCCGCCACCTCGCCCGGCTAGTTTTTTTTGTATTTTTTAGTAGAGACGGGGTTTCACCGTGTTAGCCAGGATGGTCTCGATCTCCTGACCTCGTGATCCGCCCGTCTCGGCCTCCCAAAGTGCTGGGATTACAGGCTTGAGCCACCGCGCCCGGCCTTTTTTTTTTGTTTTTTTTGTTTTTTGTTTTTTGTTTTTTTTGTTTTTTGAGACGGAGTCTCGCTCTGTCGCCCAGGCTGGAGTGCAGTGGCGCGATCTCGGCTCACTGCAAGCTCCGCCTCCTGGGTTTACGCCATTCTCCTGCCTCAGCCTCCAGAGTAGCTGGGACTACAGGCGCCCGCCACCGCGCCCGGCTAATTTTTTGTATTTTTAGTAGAGACGGGGTTTCACCGTGGTCTCCATCTCCTGACCTTGTGATCCGCCCGCCTCGGCCTCCCAAAGTGCTGGGATTATAGGCGTGAGCCACCGCGCCCGGCCCCATATTCCTTCTTTAGTGGATATTTCTTACCTCAGCTGCAGTAAATTTTTCCCTTGGTCCAGCTGTAATCCACAGTTTCACTCCATTTAACTTCTCAGATGTGATTTCATCTTTTAAGCTAGAAATACAATTTTAAAAGCAAATATTAGGTCCATAATTTAAATCAATTTATGTATTGTTTTAGTCTCTCAACTATTTGGAAGCAGAGGCCACAGAGGCTCAGAGATGAAGGGACTTAGATGTAACTGGTCCAGTCTCTCTCCCAAAGTGAGAATTCCTTCTAAGGCCTGCCCCAGAGTCATCTGGCCTCTGTCCAAATACTTCCAGTAAGTCAAGGTGTTCAAATCAAGCCATGCTAAAGCATAAGGAAGTCCTCAACTACTAATTCAATCAGCCCTACCATTAGCTCGTATGATTACATATCCTCACCTATTAAGAAGAAACATACACATACACAAAGTCAAAGTTATTCTCATTTAATTCTCATGTTTCCTTTCCCTAGTTCTGACCTCAGTCAAAATATGAAGAAAGCCTCTAAATCTTAAAAAGCTACATGTGTATAATTAGAATAATTTTTTGGTGTGTGATTTGGAAGACAACTTAATAATATGCTGCTTTAATAATATCCTAATTGCTGATTTCAGAAGAAATGTTTTTTGGTTTTTGTTTTTGACAGTTTCCCTCTGTTGCCCAGGCTGGAGTGCAGTGGCATGATCTCGGCTCACTGCAGGCTTCACTGCCTGGGTTCAAGGAATTCTTGTCCCTCAACCTCCTTAGTAGCTGGGATTATAGGCACGCACTATCAACTCAAGTGATCTGCCTGCTTCAGCCTCCCAAAGTGCTGGGATTACAGGCATGAGCCACTGCGTCCTGTCCAAGAGATCTTTTAATAAGAATTTATTTAATTATGAATAATTTTTTTATTTTTTGAGACAGAGTCTTGCTCTGTCACCAAGCTGGAGTGCAGTGGCGCGATCTCAGCTTACTATAACCTCCGCCTTCTGGGTTTAAGTGATTCTCCTGCCTCAGCCTCCCGAGTAGCTGGGACTATACGCAGGCACCATCATACCCAGCTAATTTTTGTAATTTTAGTAGAGACGGGGTTTCACCATGTTGGCCAGGATGGTCTTGATTTTTCTTTTTTTTTTTTGAGATAGAGTCTCACTCTGTTGCCCAGGCTGGAGTGCAGTGGCGCAATCTCGGCTCACTGCAACCTCCGCCTCCCAGGTTCAAGCAATTCTCTGCTTCAGCCTCCCAAGGAGCTGGGATTACAGGAACTTGCCACCATGCCTGGCTAATTTTTAAAAAATTTTTAGTAGAGATGGGGTTTCACCATCTTGTCCAGGCTTGTCTTGAACCCCTGACCTCGTGATCCACCCGCCTTGGCATCCCAAAGTGCTGGGATTACAGGTGTTAGCCACCGTGATGGCCAGTCTTGATCGCTGACCTTGTGATCCGCCTGCCTCAGCCTCCCAAAGTGCTGGGATTACAGGCGTGAGCCACCGCGCCAGACCTAATTCTGAATAATCTTTAAATTGAGCTTCTCCCACCTAAACAATCTATGTTACATAAGAAAATAAAGACTTCTCAGCTTTATCAGCAGGACAATATCATTTAGAAGGGAAAACAATATACATGGTCGGTCACCTCTGAATCTTCCAATTACTCCGAAGTTTTTTCTGCATGGATTTATAGCCGTTGTTGGTGGTAAATATCTCCTTTTTGTAGGCATTGAAAACAATGGTGCTCCGCAGCTCTTTCTCCATGGTTACCTTACGGAAGAAAGAAGGGATCAGAAAATCAATAAACAATATTCCAAAGACCCTAAAAGCAATAAATAGTTGCCTTCTACTACTATTTATCAAGAAAGGGCATACAACTGAAACCTATCTAGGAAATTCCTACAATTCTCAAAGGTCAAGAATGAAATGCAAAAGCACAGCACAGAAACCTAATACCAAAACCAACCCAGCCCTCCCCTACCCATTTTTGCTTTCCACCTCTTGCCCAGACCCTCCCAACAGCCTACACCTATGGCCCTGCCCCGCCATCACCCTGCTCTTGTGTCCCAAGACCATGTTTCCAACCTGATTCATCACTGCTAACTACTGTTAAGCGCAGGGTATAGTCTTCTAGATTCTTTTTTTCTTTTCTTTTCTTTTTTTTGAGATGGAGTCTTGCTCTATCTTCCATGCTGGAGTGCAACAGCATGATCTCGGCTCACTGCAACCTCCATCTCCTGGGTTCAAGCGATTCTCCTCCCTCAGCCTCCTGAGTTGCTGGGATTACAGGCAAGTGCCACCATTCCTGGCTAATTTTTGTATTTTTAGTAGAGACACGGTTTCACCATGTTGGTCAGGCTGGTATCGAACTCCTGACCTCGTGATCCGCCCGCCTTGGCCTCCCAAAGTGCTGGGATTACAGGGGTGAGCCACTGCACCCAGTTCTACATTCTTTTTATACATATATTAACTTACAGTTTTATTTTATGAAATAGGATCTTACCACACGCATTACTCTGAAACATTTGGTTCACCTAACCTTGTATATTTGACATCTTTCTTTGTCAGTACACATGGATCTACCATATTCTTTTAAACAGCTACACAGGGCTGGGTGCAGTGGCTTATGCCTGTAATTCCAGCACTTTGGGAGGCTGAGGTAGGAGGATCGCTTGAGCTCAGCAGTTCCAGACCAGCCTGGACCACATCTCTACAAAAATCAGCAGGGCATGCTGGCACATATCTTAGTCCCAGCTATTCAGGAGGCTGAGGTGAGAGGATTGCTTGAGCCCAGGAGGTTGAGGCTGCAGTGAGCCACAATCACCTCACTCTGCACTCCAGCCTAGAGAACAGAGCGAGACCCTGTCTTTAAACAACAACAACAACAAAAACAGCTGCACAGTATTCATTTTATGGATCTACCATAATTTATTTAACCAGTCATATACTGATTGACATCTTTTATCAAATATTTTCTAAAACAATAGTAAAAACATCAATGTTAAACAACATGTTTTTCTGCACTTTGCCTATTTGTAGATTCTTACCTATTGAATGGCTGAGTAAATCATTTCCAAATTGCCCTCCAAAAAATTATGATTTTATACTTCCACTAACATGCTTCTGTTTCCACACAATCCTATTTTCAGTCTTTGTCGTCTTTGCCAAAAAAAAAAAAAAAAAGCCCTCATTACTGTTTTAATTTCCACTTTGAAGTTAGTGAGATAGTGGTCCCTTGCTATAGATTTCTGCCACTTGTATTTCTTTTCTTCTGATTTTCTTGTCCAGGTACTCCGATCATTTTTCTCTTGAAATTTTTCTTTTTAAAAACTTCTTCTTATTTGAGATAAAAGTCCCACACAGTGACCCAGCCTGGGAATGTATCGTGTGCAATCACGATACACCGCAGCCTTGACCTCCCGGGCTCAAGCAATCATCCCACCTCAGCCTCCTGGGTAACTGGGACTACAGGTGCGCACCAGTGCCCAGCTAATTTTTGAATTTTTTGCAGAAGCAAGGTCTCGCTATGTTGCCCTTAAACTTCTGGCCTCAAGTGATCCTCCTACCTCAGCCTCCCAAAGTGCTGGTTTACAGGCATGAGCCACTGCACCCAGTCAGGTTTCATAATTTTCTAATTGATCATTAAACAAATATTTTCTTAAATTTATTTGGCTTCTGATACTTTTTTTGGTTTGGTTGAATTTTGCAGGCCATAGAGATTTTAAATTTTATAGAATTAAAAGTATTAATATTTTCCTTTCTGGCTTCTGGATGACATGAAACATTTAGAAGAGTTTTTGTCATTCTAAGATTATAAATAAATTGAACAATGCTTTCTTTCAGTACTTTGCAATGTAATTTTTTTTTCCTTTTTCCTTTTTTTTTTTTTTTTTTTTTTTTGAGACAGAGTGTGCTCTGTCGCCCAAGCTGGAGTGTAGTGGCACAATCTCGGCTCACCACAACCTCCGCCTCCCAGGTTCAAGAGATTCTCGTGCCTCAGCCTCCCAAGTGGCTGGGACTACAGGCGCCCAACACACCCGGCTAATTCGTGATGTAATATTTTAACATTTAAATTTTAGTCCATCTGGAAATTATTGTGGTGCTCAAAACGGGCTTCATTCCGTTTTTTTTTTTTCCTTCTTTTTCGAGGCATAGTCTTGCTCTGTTACCCAGGCTGGAGTGCAGTGGCGCAATCTCGGCTGGCTGCAACCTCTGCCTCCCGGGTTCAAGTGATTCTCCCGCCTCAGCCTCCCCAGTAGCTGGGATTACAGGCGCACGCGATAGTAGAGACGGTCTTTCACCAGGTTGGCCTGGAACTCCTGACCTCAAGTGATCCACTCACTTTGGCCTCCCAAAGTGCTGGGATTACAGGTGTGAGACACCTCGCTCGACTGGTTCAACTTTCTAAATTACTAAAAAAGCTGCCTGACCCCAATTCACCTTTCTAATGCTGATTTGAAATTCAGTACCACCTTCCCTATATAATAAATCCCTATATATAACTGGCTCTTATTCTGAGTTCTAATATATTCTATCTGCCTGTAAGCTCCTGCTGAGTTCCAAACTTTCTTTTTTAAAAATTTATTTATTTTTTTCAGAGATAGAGTTTCCCTTTGATGCCCATGCTGGTCTCTGACTCCTGGGCTCAAGGGATCCTCCCGCCTCAGTCTACCAAGTAGCCAGGACTACGGGCCCACACTGCTGCACCCATCTTCTAAGTAGTTTAATTGCTATACCTTTATGTTATAATATCTGGTGGCTCTGGAGAGCTAATTTCCCTTATTACCATTAATTTTAGAATTTTCCTGGCTACTTTCACATATTTCTTCTTCTTTAAGCACTTTAACATCATTTTGTCCAGTTGAAAAACTGCCCCCTCCATGATCCCACTAATGTGACACATCTATTTTTTTTGTTCGGTTAGTTCAGCCCCTGGTGAGAGTAGCAGGTCTGCGTTCCTGCACCGTCAGACTTAGCTAGAAATGCATTTCCTTAATGATACTATAAGGCCTTTAAAACTGTAAAAATAACGAATATTTGGGTAACGCTGCACAACCATTCTCTCGCTTTCTCTTCAATAACATTACCAGTCAAATTAGTATTTCCCACATGAATACCGAGGCATCGCAGCCACGACAGAAGAGAGATTAAGACTTTACGATTCCTCTTCCGATGCTCTTTCATAGTCAGCGGAACGACTAAAAAAGCCGCATCACCCGAGGCCCTGCAGATGGGCGCCCAACCAGAGCGCCAGGACCCCGGGCTACGTCCGCGCCCACAGTTTACTTCACCCCGGTGGACCCTGGATGTTCTATGACTGGCCCAGCGGCCTCGAAGAGTGTGTCGAGGCCCTCGCCAGCTCCCAGGCCGCCCCACCGCCCCAGCTGGCCCACCACTGTTGTAGCCCTTTACCTGACGCCCAGCGACCACCGGTCACCTGACGCCGCCCAGCATCCCGCGGCCAGGTATCCAAGGCCGCTTAGTAACCGGGGAGGAGCGGCGTTGCGCCGGGAGGCGTGGCCCAGGACGCAGCGCTAGCTCCGGCCGACGTGATGACGACAGCACGGAAGGCGCCTCTCCGTCGCAGGCGTCAGGGGTGTTGGGTAGGGAAGCTGGCTGGTGTGGGACTGTACCATTTGGTGCATGAGGGGCAAAGCCAAAAACAAGGAGAATTAACTTTTCACGAAAAATAAACCCATTTAATTTTGTTATTTAATATTAATTACGACTAAAGACTAATAACAACGGTAGGACCCAAGTGCCCAAACTTCGCTCCACCCACAGGGAGGAGAATAGTGAAGTCTTCCAGCGAGGGGATTGGAGAATACGCCAGCCTCGATTCCCAAGGCGCAGGCGCAGAGCGGAGCCAGGCGAGGGCGGGGCCGGGCGGAGGGCTGGGCCGGACTATCAGGAACTACTTACCGGAAAAGGGTGAGCTGGTTTAGTGTTGAGAATGATAACACCGGGTAATTCTGCTTTATGAACTCCGCATCTTCGCTCGCCGTGGTGCTAGGCATGAGCGCCGGCGGTGAGCCCGCAGCCCTTTGGGCGGGGAGTTAGAACTTGAACAGATTGTACAAAAATGTGAAAACTATGAACTGTATTAGGGAGTCTGACGACTAAGCTCGTCAAAAAGGTGCCCCTGTTGAGCAGAGTTTTGAAGAAAGAGTGGTATTTATTAAGGCAAAGGCTGGGGAAGGGCGTTCCGGGCAGAAAGAACTGCTTGTGCAAAGAGCATCACCAATACAGGTTGCCCTGCCATCGCCATTAAGGTGGGAAACCAGAAGCCTGCAACTACCAGCAGGCCACCCGACTACCCAGGAAAGCGCTCTGTGCCTGCCTTTAGAGGTGTGTGGATTTGTGAACAACGCTGCAGCAGCCTGGAAGACCCAAACTGAAGATTGCAGAGAGTTCTGACAGTTTTTATTTACATTTATGTTTGTCTTCGAGTTTAGGATATTAAAACACACAACTCTTGTTGCTTTTCACAATTTCTGTCACTGGAAATTTTAAAAGTGGAGACGGGCCGGACGCAGCGGCTCTCTCCTGTAATCCCAGCACTTTGGGAGGCCGAGGCAGGTGGATCTCTTGATCCCAGGAGTTCGAGACCAGCCTGGGAAACATGGCGAAACCCGGTATCTACTAAAAATACGAAAAATTAGCTGGGCGTGGTGGCGCGCGCCTGTAGTCCCAGCTGATTGGGAGACTGAGGTGGGAGGATTGATTGATCCTAGGAGGCTGAGGCTGCAGTGAGCCGGCATGGTGCCACCGCACTCTAGCCTAGGCAACACAGTGAATCCCTGTCTCAAAAAAAGAAAAAAAAAGTGGAGAAGGGGTGATATGTGAATTCTCTGTGTCAGATGGAGTGGCTCATGCCTGTAATCCTAGCACTTTGGGAGGCTAAATTGGGAGGACTGCTTGAGGCCAGGAGTTTGAGACCTGGGTAACAGTAACACCTTTTCTCTCCAATAATAATAGTAATAAGGAAGGAGACCACTACTCCTGCTGCCCTCCTCCCCTCACCTTGCCTAGTTCACAAGACAGGAGGAAAGAGAGGAAGAAACAAAAGTAAGATAAATAGCCAGACAACCTTGGCACTACCATCTGGCCCTAGGAGTTAAACAAAGTAATAATAACATCAACCCCTGACCTAAACTACTTATCTGTAAATTTCAGACACTGTAGGAAAAAAGCATTGTAAAACTTTCTGTTCTGTTAGCTGATGCAGGTAGCCCCCCAGTCACATTTCCCACGCTTGCTTGATTTATCACGACCCTTTTCACGTGGACCCCTTAAAGTTGTAAGCCTTTAAAAAGGCCAGGTATTTCTTTCTCGGAGAGCTCGGCTCTTAAGACGCGAGTCTGCGGACGCTCCCGGCGGAATAAAAAACCTCTTCCTTATTTATTTATTTATTTATTTTTTAAATTTTTATTTATTTATTTTTTTAAGATGGAGTCTCGCTCTGTCGCCCAGGCTGGAGTGCAGTGGCGCGATCTCCACTCACTGCAAGCTCCGCCTCCCGGGTTCACGCCATTCTCCTACCTCAGCCTCCCGAGTAGCTGGGACTATAGGCGCCCGCCACCGCGCCCGGCTGATTTTTGTATTTTTAGTAGAGACGGGGTTTCACCGTGTTAGTCAGGATGGTCTCGATCTCCTGACCTCGTGATCCGCCCGTCTCGGCCTCCCAAAGTGCTGGGATTACAGGCGTGAGCCACCGCGCCCCGCCGTCTTCCTTCTTTAATCCGGTGACTGAGGAGTTTTGTCTGTGGCTCATCCTGCTACAGTAATAATAAATAAATAAAGAAAATTAGCCAGGCATGGTGGCAACCACATGTAGTCTTAGCTACTTGGGAGGCTGAGGTGGGAAGATTGCTGGAGCCCAGGAGTTCAGGCTGCGGTGAGCCATGATCGCTGCACTGCACCCCAGCCTGGGCAACAGAGTGAGACACTGTCTCTTTAGAAAAAAAAAAAAAAGAGAGAGAGAGAGTTCTGTTCTTGGGGATGCTGTATTTTGGTGCAAAATTGGGTGAATACAGTTTGCAGTTAGGGTAATAATAGAAATGAAGTATTCTCACTGAAAAGAGAGTAGGCCATCCCATTTGAAGGCTGGGACAAATCTTGGGATCTTTCTGCCTGATATGCAGTCTGTGTTTGCTACAGCACCTGCCCAGAGCATTTCTCCCACTGTTAGAGATTGTAGAAAGACTAAGAGTTTTGGCCAGGCGCAGTGGCTCACACCTGTAATCCCAGCATTTTGGGAGGCCAAGGCGGGTGGATCACTTGAGGTCAAGAGTTCGAGACCAGCCTGGCCAACATGGTGAAACCCCATCTCTACAAAAAAAAAAAAAAAATTAGCTGGGTGTGGTGGTGGGCGCCTGTAATCCCAGCTTCCCAGCTGCTTGGGAGACTGAGGCAGGAGAATCACTTGAACCCAGGAGGCAGAGGTTGCAGTGAGCTGAGATCGCGCCATTGCACTCTAGCCTGGGCAACAAGAGTGTAACTCCGTCCCTGCTCCCCCGCCAAAAAAAAAGGCAAGAGTAAGACTTTTAGAATCAGTAGTGACTGTCACCAAGTTCAGTTCCTTGCTGTGACTTGTACCAGCTGGGTGACCTTGGGCAGTTTTCATAATTTCTGAGCAAATGTATCCTATCTGTGAAGTCAATTTTTTTATTTTATTTTATTATTATTTTTTTTTTTGCCGAGACAGTCTTGCTCTGCTGCCCAGGCCGGAGTGCAATGGCATGATCTCAGCTCACTGCAACCTCCGCTTCCTGGGTTCAAGCATTTCTCCTGCCTTAGCGTCCCAGGTAGCTGGGATTACAGGTGCCCGCCACCATGCCTGGCTAATTTTTGTATTCTTAGTAGAGACAGGGTTTCACCATTTTGGCTAGGCTGGTCTTGAACTCTTGACCTCGTGAATCGCCCACCTTGGCCTCCCAGAGTGCTGGGATTACAGGCGTGAGCCACCACGCCCGGCCTGAAGTTACTAATTTCTAAATGCTGGTTTATAGTGAGGATCGTAGATAATGCATATACAACTTGGAATGTGCTCCATAAACATAGGTTGTAGCATGTTCCATTCAACAGTATAGTTTTTCTTCGTGTTTATTTTTTATCCTGATGAAAATAATTGTGCTTTTGCAATCTCAGAACAGATAGAACCATTATGTGTTTCACCGTCCATGGCTGATTGTGTGCTTCTGACACTACTATTACGTTTCTGATCATTATACTCTTGTCTTGCTTTGGGAAGTTAGGGGGATTTTGACCTCTCCCTCATCTTGTCCCACATCTGTCAATTAGCCGGCACTATCAAGATAGAAATCAGTATGTTTCTTTCAGCGTTCTTAGCACATGTGAAAGCTTAACATGAGCTCTTCCTGACCCAGTTTTGATCTCTAATAGCTCAGTGTCATTGGTGTTTTTTCTGTGGTCTCCCAGACTTGTCCCCCATGATTCCTGGGGTAGGGGGCTGGGTGGTCAAGACTTGAGGAAGAGAAAGAGTGGGATTGAATTAAGAGGAAAAGGCAATAAAATCACCAGCACACACTGATCTAAGAAAGTTCCTTCCCTTGTCTCCTAACCAAAAAGCTAATAAGGCCACTCAGGAGTATGAACCACACATTTGTAAAAAACAAACATCTTTTCTTATTTATTTATTCATTTATTTATTTACTTATTAATAAGACAGAGTCACACTCTGTCGCCCAGGTTGGAGTGCAGTGGCACGATCTCGGCTCACTGCAACCTCCGCCTCCCAGGTTCAAGTGATTCTCGTGTCTCCACCTCCCGAGTAGCTGGGACTACTGGCATGTGCCACCACGCTCAGCTAATTTTTTGTATTTTTAGTAGAGACGGGGTTTCACCATATGGGCCAGGCTGGTCTACAAACTCCTGACCTCGGCCTCCCAAAGTGCTGGTATTATAGGCGTGAGCCACCGCGCCCAGCCAAAACGAACCACTTTTCCACTGAAGGAAGCACAATCCATCCCACAAGTGTTCTGAATTTATGAGGTGTTATAGCTCACGTTCTGTCTGATCAGAATTACCTTTAGAAATGACTAATCTTGGCCGGACGCGGTGGCTCATGCCTATAATCCCAGCACTTTGAGAGGCCAAGGTGGGCGGATCATCTGAGGTCGGGAGTTCGAGACCAGCCTGACCAACATGGAGAAACCCTGTCTCTACTAAAAATACAAAATTAGCCAGGTGTGGTAGCGCATGCCTGTAAACCCAGCTACTCAGGAGGCTGAGGCAGGAGAATTGCTTGAACTTAGGAGGCGGAGGCTGCAGTGAGTCGAGATTGTGCCACTGCACTCCAGCCTGGGCAACAAGAGCGAAACTCAGTCTCAAAAAAAAAAAAAGAAAAAGAAAAGAAAAGGAAATGACTAATATTGAACATATGGAGCTCCATGGTGGCGAGGAAGTTCTAGGCATCAATTCTGCAGCAGCCTCCAGCTCTGACAAGCTCTGAGCTCCCCTATGTGCAGTGGAGCATGGCACGAACCTGGCAGCCAGCCTCAGACCAGGAGCGGCATCCCGTTCAATGTCTCCTCTTCGAGACCCCATTTCTCACACGTGGCTTGTTCCAGCCACCTTTTGACTTAGCTCCTCACTAGAGATTTTGGCAGTCATTCTGCCTGGACCTAGTAGCCAGAGCGAGAAGCAGACCAGTACAAAAGTTCAATGTGAGAGCCCTGGAGCCAGCTTGTAGGGCTCCAAGTCCCAGCTCCGGCCTTTATTAGTTATGTGGCCTTCAGGCAAGGAACAACTTATCTGACTCTGCATCTTCACTGGTAAAAAGGGGATAGTAATAATTCCTACCTCAGGGTTGTTTGGATGGAAAATTTGTAATAGACATGGAAGAGTCTAGCACAGCAACTAGCCCAGCATAGGCAGGCGATCTAAAGCTAACTTTGGCCAATTAAGCAAAAAAGGACTGTGTTAAAAAGGATCAGAAGTTCTCAGATCATTTGGAAAGCTAGATAAGACTTGAGGCTTGGGCAGGTGCAGTGGCTCATGCCTGTAATCCCAGCACTTTGGGAGGCTGAGGTGGGAGGATCACTTGAGGTCAGGAGTTCGAGAACAGCCTGGCCAAAATAGCGAAACCCTGTCTCTGCTAAGAATACAAACAATAATTAGCCAGGTGTGATGGCGCGTGCCTATAGTTCCACCTACTAGGGAGGCTGAGGCAGGAGAATCACTTGAACCCGGGAGGCGGAGGTTGCAGTGAGCTGAGATAGCACCACTATACTCCAGCCTGGGCAACAGAGCAAGACTGTCTGAAAAAAAGAAAGACTTGAGGCTTCCAGGAATGACATTGCAGGGCTGGTCTGATGGCATTGTTGCCATTGAGCACCAACTGCTACAGTTTGCATCCTTGCCACTTCTACACCAGGAACTCAATTTTGTGGATACTGCTGCCACAGTTACCACACAAAAGAGCACTCCTGATTCCTTTCCTGAGTCAAAGTGTGGCATGGGTGCATCCCTGGTCCCCATGCCTGGCCCTGGCTAAGGGGAGGCTGGGAAAGTCGGTGTCTAGCATTTTCAGCTAAAAATACAAAATTAGCCAGGCGTGGTGGTGCATGCCTGTAATCCCAGCTACTCAGGAGGCTGAGGCAGGAGAATTGCTGGAACCTAAGTGGAGGTAGTTATTGCCCCCCATTAAGTCTCATAAAACAGGGGATTCCCTGGAGACAAGAAGGGGTTCAGATACCAGGCACCCAGACCCAATAACAAATGTCCAATATTACCCGCAACAAAGACGGATATCATCAACATAGAACAATTAGAGATATTGATACCCGATAAGCTTGTTACATCTCTGTCATTTTACACATTGAGATCAAAATCCAAACACCAGGAGGCCCTCTGGTAAAGCGTGCTGGGTGCCTACCCAACATTCTCCCCTTCTCCCTTTGTGTCAGAACCCCTTTGTTACAAGGGATAGTCATGTACCCAGCAAATAAGCCACATCTCCCAGCCTCCATTCCAGGTAGGGGTGGGTGGTTAGTGAGATGGAAGCAGAGGGAAAGCTCTTTAAAAGCACCCTTTGCTCTTCTCCCCCTTTCCTCTGTTTTCCTTTCCCCAAACACAAAATTGGCAGCTAGAGCTCCAGTAACCATCTGGTAGCAAACCTAACATTGGAAGCCATTTGTCAAGGTTGGCAGGGCAGAAATACAGCCTCTGAGTAGCCAATGACCTGTCCTGCCAGCCCTGGACTCCGTAACATTATTTTTCTTTTATGTGGTGGAAAAAATAAACCTGCTTCTCATGTAAGCCATTGTTACTTTGAGTCGCTCTTCCTAGCAGCTGAAGGTAATTCCTTACTAATACCAGCCAGCCTCAGTAGTTTCACAGGTGCTTCTCTTCTAGCAATCCAGGATGTCATCATCCTCTGGCGCGTAAGAAAATCCCAGAAATGCACTTGAGGCCCCAGAGCTGCTGGCCACAGTGTCAGGGGTACAGCCAATGGACTTGGACACAGCTTCCTGGGTGAACTCTGGGTCAAAATGCTTCAAGTCAGCAGGTCCTGCCTGTCAATGAAAGCCAACGATGAGAAGAAAACACCGGGGTCAGAGCTGCCAAAGGAGCCCAAATCCTCAGGGATGTCAGGCCTCTGTGAGTGCCCCATGCTTCCTAGTCATCCATACTTGACTGTCACTTTCCTGTGCATTTACAGTGATCATTTTATCCTCTCGCCTCCTGGTATTCTGCCTCTACACCAATCCTTAGACGAGTTAGTTAATCAATACATACTTACTGAATGCCTACCAGGTACTGTTCATGGCGCTGGGAACACAGGAGAACAAGGCAAAGTGAGCCCCTGTATTCATGGAGCTTACACTGTAGGGGGTAGGAGGATTGATAATAAGCATGTGTACAAATAGATAACTTAGGATGGTGACAGGTCCTGTGAAGAAGATAAAATAGGATAATATGGTGGAGATTGGGGCTGCTTTAGCTATTTTGGAGGAAGACCTGTGAGGGAGATTACAAAAATGATCACAAATTCTCCATTTCCCATCTAGAGGTGGAGTCTATTTCTCCATTCCTTTAATGTAAGTTAGCCATATGACTTGGTTAGGCCAATGGGACATTACCAAATATGACACAAGCAGAGGCTTGAAAAATGTACATCAGAAGTTGCTCTCTTGCTGTACTTCTAACCCTGAGGCCACCATGTGAACAGCCCCAGACTAGCCTGCTGGAGCATGAGAGGCTTTGTGAAGAACTCAGTTGCCCTGGCTGCCTGCCAACTCCCAGGCATGGGAGTGAGGCAATTCTAGATCAACAACTGCCAACTGTCCCGCTAGCTGACCACAGACGTGAGAGAGCTCCACAGAGACCAGCTGGCCTGGCTCAGACTGAAAAAAAAAAAACACATAGAATCCGAACAAAATAATTTTTTTTTAAGAGACAAGGTCTTTTTTGCCGTGTCACCCAGGCTGGAGTGCACTGGCATGATCACAGCTCACTACAGCTTCGACATCCCACCTCAGCCTCCTGCTGGGACTACAGGCATGCAGCACCACACCTGGCTAATTTTCTATTTTTCTATAAAGATGGGGTCTCGCCATGTTGCCCAGGCTGGTCTTGAACTCCTGGCCTCAAGCAATGGTAATGGCTCGGCCTCACAAAGTGCTGGGGTTACAGATATGAGCTACCATGCCTGGCCAAAAGATTGTTGTTTTAAACCACCTAGCTCTGGAGTTGCTTGTTATGCACCAAGAGCTAACCAATACAGTCTCTCCGAGGAGGAGGCCTCAGTTTTATAAAGTAAGCAGCCGAGGAAGGGGAAGGGCTTGCAAATCTTCTTTAGTGTGCAAGTTGGGCTACGGAGCCAAACAGATCAGTTTCCAGCTTCTTAATAAGGCTACAAGACAAGGTAGTCCCAGCCCAGCACTCAGAGTTCCAAGATCAGAATATGTATCCTGGCCCTTATTAGTTGTGTGACCCTAGAAGAAAATGATACTAAAGAAACTTACTGAAGACCTCACAAATGGTAGGTGGCAAAACCAGGAATCCAGCTTTGGAGTGTCTCATTCTAAAGTCCATGCATCTGTGCCTGGCATTCCATGTATGATTCTCTCTCCAGGGTATCAGTTTACATTGTCTTTACTGTCTTTTTAAAATTCCAAGGAAAAGAAGCTTTTCTGGTGCCTGGCCTGAGTGTATCCTATCTGATCCAGTGCCCAAAGACAAGTTCATGAATAGGTAATTCACGAAAGGAGAAATGTAAATGGTGAATTAACATTGGCAGTGTTTCGTATGCAGGCTGTTTCGATGGAAGGGGCTTGGCACCACGCTTTACAGGTAGACCACACAGCCTCAAATGCCCACCTCCAATAGGGCTCCTTTCATTCACACTGCTACTACCAATTAACATTGCAAAACCAGCACTTTGGGAGGCCAAGGCGGGAGGATCACTTGAGGTCAGGAGTTTGAGACCAGCCTGGCCAACATGGTGAAACTCTGTTTCTACTGAAAATACAACAACAAAAAAGTTAGCCAAGCGTGGTGCTAAACGCCTGTAGTCCCAGGTACTCGGAAGGCTGGGGCACGAGAATTGCTTGAACTTGCAGAGCTGGAGGTTGCAGTGAGCTGAGATCGTGCCACTGCACTTCAGCCTGGGCAACAGAGCAAGACTCCATCTCAAAAATATAAAAAAAAAAGCCAGGCACGATGGCTCATGCCTGTAATCCCAGCACTTTGGGAGGCTATGGTGGTCAGATCACTTGAGGTCAGGAGTTCAAGACCAGCCTGGCCAACGTGGCAAAACACCATCTCTACTAAAAATACAAAAATTAGCCAGGTGTGGTGGCACATGCCTGTAGTCCCAGTCACTCAGGAAGCTGAGGCAGGAGAACTACTTGAACCAAGGAGACAGAGGTTGCCATAAACCAAGATTGCGCCACTGCACTCCAGCCTGGGCAACAAAGTGAGACTCCATCTCAATAAAATAAAATAAAAATGAAAATGAAAATAAAAACTGGCCAGGTGTAGTGGCTCACACCTGTTATTCCATCACTTTGGGAAGTTGAGGGGGTGGATCAGTTGAGCCCAGGAGTTCAAGATCAGCCTGGGCTACATAGAAAACCCTCATATGTACAAAAAATACAAATTAGCTAGGGGTAGTGGCACCCACCTCCCAGCTACTCGGGAGGTTGAGATAGGAGGATGGCTTGAGCCCAGGAGGTGGAGGTTGCAATAGGCAGAGATCATGCCACTGCACACCAGCCTGGGTGATAGAGTGAGACCCTATCTCAAAAAATAAATAAATTTTAAAAACTAACCATCTTTACTATAAGACAGAGAAATATAAATTAAAACAATTAAGAGATGCTGTTTTTTACTTACCAAATTTGCAAAGTAAAAAACAATAACAACACATGCTTCAGAGTGCAAGTAAGATGAGAACTCTCCAGCAGGTGCCGCTGGTAGGCAGTAGATGGTTCTCCCTTCCACACAGTGAAAAGGCCTAAAAATGGCCGGGTGTGGTGGCTCACGCCTGTAATCCCGGCACTTTGGGAGGCCAATGCAGGTGAATCACTTGGGGCCAGAAGTTCGAGACCAGCCTGGCCGATATGGTGAAACCCCGTTTCTACTAAAAATACAAAAATTAGCCAGGCGTGGTGGCACATGCCTATAATCACAGCTACTCGGGAGGCTGAGACATGAGAATTGCTTGAACCTGAGATCATGCCACTGCACTCCAACCTGGGCAACAGAGAAAGACTCTGTCTCAAGGAGAAAAAAAAAAAGAGAGAGAGAATCTGAAAATGTGAGCATTGGGAACCCCCATCTGGAATCCATCTTAAGGAAATAACCAGAATTCTGGACAAAGACATATACTTAAAGCTGTTCATCAGGACATCATTATAAAGAAAAAAACATAGTAATAACAAGAAGATTGCCATTAGGAACATGGGTGAGTAAATTATGTTACCAACATAGGATTGAAATATTATGCAGCCACTAAAAATTGTACTTATAAATTTTTTATGACATGAGGAAATTATAACAACATAGTTTTTAGCCAAAAAAGGAGGAAGATATATAGATGAACAGATACACACACATACACATATAGATATTATAAAGTAGGACCTAATTAGGTTAGAAAAAAAAAAACCCAGGCTGGGCACGGTGGTTCATGCCTGTAGTCCCAGCACTTTGGGAGGCTGAGGTGGGCGGATCACAAGGTCAGGAGATTGAGACCATCCTGGCTAACACGGTGAAAACCCATCTCTACTAAAAATACAAAAACAAAATTAGCCGGACATGGTGGTGGGTACCTGTAGTCCCAGCTACTCGGGAGGCTGTGGCAGGAGAATGGCATGAACCCAGGAGGCGGAGCTTGCAGTGAGCTGAGGTGGCGCCACTGCACTCCAGCCTGGGCAACAGAGTGAGACTCCATCTCAAGAAAAAACAAAACAAAACAAAAAAACACATAGAAAAGTGACTGGAAGGAAATATGCCAGTGGTTTCCCTTAAGTAGTGAGATAATAAGCATTTCCTCACCGCTACTTTAAACTTTTCTGTTTTACATACATTCCTCTTTTTTTTTTGAGACAAAGTCTCCCTCTGTTGCCTAGGCTGGAGTGCAATGGCATGATCTTGGCTCACTGTGACCCCTGCCTCCCGGGTTCAAGCTATTCTCCCACCTCAGCCTCCCGAGTAGCTGGGATTACAGGTGTGCACCACCACTTCTGGCTAATTTTTGTATTTCTAGTAGAGATGGGGTTTCACCATGTTGGCTACACTGGTTAGTTCTTCCTTCCACACAGTGAAAAGGTGGTACGAATCAAGAACCTAAAAATGGCCGGGCTGACCTCAGTGATCTGCCCTTAAGTGATCTGCCCACCTCAACCTCCCGAAGTGCTGAGATTACAGTCGTGAGCCACCGCGCCTGGCCAGTGTTTTACATACTTTTTGTAAGAATATATGTCATTTTTATTATCAGGAAAAAGTCTATAAATAGAAAAAGATAAAATATTTCTAAAGGGCTTGGCCCTATGTGGGTGTGCTACGTGACACACAAACTGTAAAAGGCTCTGAAGTCAGAGGTATTTATTGGTGCTAAAGGTAAAGGAGCAGCAACATGGCTCTTTATCCAAGAGCTGCACCTGTGGTCACGACCAGTTCTACCTCTAACTGACTGTGTAGCCTAGGACAAATGCCTGAGCTTCTTGGACCCCCAGTTTTTCCATCTGGATAAGGAGAGTTGGTACACATAGCAAGCTCCCCCAGCCCCAGAAATCCAGAATCTAGAATGTTGTGACCTCTTACCACATTTGGGTTGAAGGGTGGAGTTAGCCTCTTGTGGTACAGGTCATCCCAGTTTATAGGGCTGAAGAATACATGGTTCTTAATCTCCAGCTGCAGGAAGTGCAGAAAAAAGGTGCTAGTTAGAAGTAGCCCTCCCCATGGGTGTTCTCACCTCACTCCCACATCCTCCAGAGCTCCACCAGCAACTGGCTGTCAACTGGAAATTAACTTGCAGTTCTGGCCGGTTTCCTGGGACAAGAGAGTTTTGTAGCCAACCCTCTCCCACCATCCAGAATCCAAACCCTTCTCCCCACTACAGCATCTGTTTATTCCAAAACTATTTACTGAGCATCTTCTCTGGGCACCAACCCCTTGCTAGGCTTTGGGGGTGTCAGTGAATAAGACAGCAGAATCTGCTCTAGGGGTGGGGAAGTGCCAGTGGGAGCTTGGGGACCCCTCCCCTCACTCTGCTTCAGTACATCTTGAGTTTTCCAGTATGCAAACAAGAGAAATAGACTAAATCAACTCACTATGGAAGGCTTGAAAAATAAAGCCCCCAAGAAGACCTTCGGATTCCCAGACAACCAGATTTTAGGACTCAGCCCTGGTCATGATTCACCACCTTTCCTAATCAAAATCAACATTGGCACCAACTTCTTTCCATCACATCCTCTGTCTGTGTTCTCAAATAATCATTCTCCACCTCCCTATATCGGGAACCCCAGTGGGCTGGTTAACAACTCAGATCCAAAATATCTCCATAAGAGGCTGGGTGCGGTGGCTCATGCCTGTAGTCCCAGCACTTTGGGAGGCCAAGGCGGGTGGATCACCTGAGGTCAGGAGTTCATGACCAACCTGGCCAACATGGTGAAACCCCGTCTCTACAAAAATAGAAAAATTAGCCAGGCGTAGTGGTGTGTGCCTATAATCCTAGCTACCTGGGAGGCTGAGGCAGGAGAATCGCTTGAACCCAGGAGGCAGAGGTTGCAGTGAGCCGAGATCATGCCACTGCACTCCAGTCTGGGCGACAGAGCAAGACTCTGTCTCAAAATAAAAATAAATAAAGCCTCCAAAAGAATACCCGAGAAATTGGTAACACTGGCTGCCTCTGAATTGAGGAACTAGGTGGCTGGAAGGACTTTTTCTGGATACTCTTTTGTACCCTTTGAATTTTGATCTATGTGAATGTATAACTTATTTTATTTTATTTATTTATTTTTTTTTGAGACGGACTCTCGCTCTATCGCCCAGGCTGGAGTGCCGTGGCCGGATCTCAGCTCACTGCAAGCTCCGCCTCCCGGGTTCACACCATTCTCCTGCCTCAGCCTCCCGAGTAGCTGGGACTACAGGCGCCCGCCCCCTCACCCGGCTAGTTTTTTTGTATTTTTTTAGGAGAGACGGGTTTTCACCGTGTTAGCCAGGATGGTCTCGATCTTCTGACCTCGTGATCCGCCCGTCTCGGCCTCCCAAAGTGCTGGGATTACAGGCTTGAGCCACCACGCCCGGCCTGTATAACTTATTTTAAGAGTCATACTTTTTTTTTTAAGATGCAAATTTTTGCTTGGAACAGGAGACTTATCTTCATGGAAACTCCTGTTCTTTAAGCTGGCCAGGAGTAGGCAGCAGATGCCCTAAATGTTGTTATAATTTACAGTAACTGAAATGTAAAGCTTTTGGTACAAACACTTAAAAAGCACTTACTGTGCGCCAGACACTGCTGAGAGCACTTTGCATACATTAATACTAATCCATTTCATCTTCAAAACAGCTATATTAGGTGTTACAATGGGGAAACTGCGGCTCACAGAGAGAAACTAAGCAACACGTCCGAGGTCCTGTAACCAGTAAGTGGTGAAGGAGGGATCTGAACCCAAGTAGTCTGCCTCATAGTCCATTCTTTTTTTTTTTTTTTTTGAGATAGAGTCTCACTCTGTTGCCGAGGCTGGAGTGCAGTGGCACCCATCTCAGCTCACTGCAACCTCCACCCACCCCGTGTCTCAGCCTCCTGAGTAGCTGGGATTACAGGCGCCCACCACCACGCCCGGCTAATTTTTGTACTTTTAGTAGAGACCGGGTTTCACCATGTTGGCCAGGCTGGTCTCGAACTCCTGACCTCAGGTGATCCGCCCGTCTTGGCCTCCCAAAGTGGTGGGATTACAGGTGTGAGCCACTGTACCTGGCCTAGTCCATTCATCTTAACCACTGTGTTAGAAAAGAAAGCAAAAGCCTGGTGAGAAAAGTATTGTGGCCTTCTTTTTGTAAATCCAAATTATCTTGTGTTGAATTTAAAAAGTAGGATTATTTTTAAAGTGCCACTTTAATGAATGAATATAATGAATTTGCTAAGAATGGACTATGAATCATTTATCCCTATATCCCATTTGCCCAGCCTGGGGTCTGGCAAGGAAGAAGTGCTCAGATATTTGTAAAAAGCAAGTGCTGGCTCGGTGCAGTGGCTCATGCCTGTAATCCCAGCACTTTGGGAGGCTGAGGCGGGCAGATCACTTGAGGTCAGGTGTTCGAGACCAGCCTAGCCAACATGGTGAAACCTCGTCTCTACTAAAAAAAATACAAAAATTAGCCAGGCATGGTGGCGGGTGCCTGTAGTCCCAGCTACTCAGTAGGCTGAGGCATTAGAATTGCTTGAACCTGGGAGGTGGAAGTTGCAGTGAGTCGAGATCACGCCACTGCACTCCAGCCTGGGCAACAGAGCCAGACTCAGTCTCAAAAAAAAAAAAAAAAGGCCAGGCATGGTGGCTCACGCCTGTAATCCCAGCACTTTGGGAGGCCGAGGCGGGCAGATCATGAGGTCAAAAGATCGAGACCATCTGGCCAACATGGTAAAACCCCATCTCTACTAAAAATACAAAAATGAGCTGGGCGTGGTGGTATGTGCCTGTAGTCCCAGCTACTCTGGAGGCTGAGGCAGGAGAATCTCTTGAACTCGGGAGGTGGAGGTTGCAGTGACCTGAGATTGCACCACTGCACTCCAGCGTGGCAACAGAGCGAGACTCCGTCTCAAAAAAAAAAAAAGCAAATGCAGTCCACTCTCCACAAAGAAGCCAGAGGAATCTTCTATAAACTTAAATCAGGTCATGCCACACCTCTGCTCAAAACACCCTAAAACTTGCCACTCTCCTCGTTGTTCCCATAGCAGGACGTCTGCACATGCTGTGCCCTGTGTCTGGGGAGCCTTTGCCCAGCTGTCTTCATGGCTGCCTCTTTCTCATCCTTAAGCCTCAGCTTAATTGTCACCCCCTCAGAGAGAACTCCCTGACAATGCCAGTATTAATTTGCTCCCCTCCCATTATTGTTTATCTCAGCTCATTGTTCATTTTCTTCCTGACATTTGTCATATCTTGTGATAATTGTATATAATGTTTGGGTTTTTTGCCTACCCCCAACCCCAGACTTTTTGTTTTTGTTTTTGAGATGGATTTCTGCTTGTTGCCCCGGCTGGAGTGCAATGGCATGATCTCAGTTCACTGCAACCTCCGCCTCCTATGTTCAAGTGATTCTCCTGCCTTAGCCTCCCAAGTAGCCAAGATTACAGGTGCCCACCACCACGCCCAGATAATTTTTGGTATGTTTAGTAGAGGTGGGGTTTATAACATGTTGGCCAGGCTGGTCTCAAACTTCTGACTTCAGGTGATTCACCTGCTCTGGTCTCCCAAAGTGCTGGGATTACAGGCATGAACGCTGCACCCAGCCCCCACCCCAAACTTAATAAGGGCAGAGACCCAGTCTATTGAATCCCTAACACGTAGCTCAATACCTGGCACATAGTTGGTGCTTAGTAAATATTGATTGACTAAGAGAACTAGACTAGAGAAAGCAGTCAGCTAGTAGCAGTAGTGAATTTCCAAATGAACAAGTGAGCAGTGTCTGGTTTTAGAGGGCAGCAGGGTGCATGTTAATGTGCTTCTGAGCTGCCTCTGCAGGAAGCTGCGGGTCCCTTGAGGGCCAGTGCTCCACTGGCAGGTCACCTACAAAGTCTGCTTTGGAGCCCAGCCGCTGCCTCTGGTCCTTGTGGAGAAGGCTTTGCAGGAGGTCACAGGCGGCCACCGTCCGGCCCCCAGGGATCTGTAGCGGCTGGTGCAGAATGTTCTCATACATCTGGGACACGTCTTGGCTGTAGAAGGGCGGCTGGGGAGAGAGGGAGAGCAACTGGAGGATCACCCATGCAAAAGTGAACACAGGCTCCGGGAGACTTGGAGCAAGGTGGGCGCTGGGAGGACTCAGCATGACCCCCGTCTTGTGCAATGGCTCGCATGGCAGACTGGAAAGAGACAGGACTCCAGGTTTCCGGCACGATGGAGAGAGTTGCTAGGAAGGCCAGAAGCCTCTTCCCACCAGTGTGAGGCCCATCTCTTTTCATCTAGCTTGCTCACCAACTTTGCATTTGGCAACATTTGCACTTTCACCTTCATCATTTCACCCCAGTCTCATAACTATCCTCCAAGAGAGCTGTAATTTTTCAGATAAGAAAACAAGACTCAGAGCAATTATGCTGCAGTTAGGAAGAGAGCCAGGCCCCAAACCATATCCAGGGTCCCCTTCTCTTTCTTACTATTCTTCCTCCCAAGCCTCTTCCAGCTGTTCCTTCCCCTTAATCCACAGAGTCTGTTCCTTCCTAGGAACCAAGCTATGTTGGTGAAACCACCCCCAAAGCAAAGCATGACCTAGGGCAAATCTACACATGCCTCTACCTAAGCAGGCAGCCTAGGACTGGGGCCAGGGGTGGTTCCACAACCTATCAGGACTGTGATCTCTCTTGGTCTCCATTTCCCTATCAGCAAAATATGAATAATTCCATTTCCTTCTGTCAGTCTCCAAAGGCTATTTTGAGGCACCCAAGGTGAGACAGTGTGTTGTAAACAATAAAGTGCTACACTAACTTTTTTTTTTTTTTTTTTTGAGACAGAGTCTCCCTCTGTCACCCAGACTGGATGTGCGGTGGTGCGATCTCGGTTCACTGCAGCCTCTGCCTCCCAAGTTCAAGTGATTCTTCTGCCTCAGCCTCCCGAGTAACTGGGATTATAGGTGCTCGCCACCATGCCCAGCGAATTTTTGTATTTTTAGTAGAGATGGGGTTTCAGCATGTTAACCAGGCTGGTCTTAAACTCCTGACCTCAGGTGATCCACCTGCCTCAGCCTCCCAAAGTGCTGGGATTATGGGTGTGAGCCACCGCTCCCGGCCTAAACTAACATTATTGGGAAAAAAAAAATAATTCGCATATCTGCTTTGGCATTATCTTTTTTAGTCTGGAATGAAGAGATGGCTTGCTCATTTTCCTGGGCAGAGCTTGTGTAGACCACATGAGAGACAGACCCATCGCTAGCCAGATGGCCCTTGTAGATGGCTACCCCCGACTCACCAGGCCGTGCAGCATCTCGTAGAGGACTGCCCCCAAGCACCACCAGTCTACCGCCCGATCATAAGGCTCTTTCCGAAGCACTTCAGGTGCCAAGTACTGTCAGAAGGAAACACACTTATCTGAATGAAATAAGTTGTTAAGCCTCAGTTGCCGCATCTGTAAATAAGGCACTTGGAGGAAGATGACCAAGAGCTGACCTTGCTGTGCGTGTGCTCTGTGGCTGTGCATGTGTTCATCCATCAGTCATTCACCAAAGGCCTGCTTTCTGCAGGGCCCTTTGCCACGGGTTGGGGACGTAGAAGAGGTCAGCCAGGGCTGCTTTGTGCAATTTACATGGTGTGTACCACACAAAAGCATCAGACAAAAGGGTAAAGGGGGCTGCAGTCATGGCTGTGATCCACTCACCAAGCCACAACACTATTTCAGAGGTATTATCTGTCAACTTTATTTTTGTTTCAAGGGGTGCTTTTTCTAATTAGTCTGCCCGGAGGGGATGCCTTTTTCTATTTATGCAAAGGCATTCAGCGGGCTATCGTGTCCTGGGAATGGAAGGCCCTGGGAGTACGCTCACAGGGCAGTGTGGAGACGAATGTGAGTGTAAGTAAAAGTAAATGTGGTATATCCTTGTGCTGGAAACCCTAGGGTCAGATGAGAGGGTCAGGAAGGAGGGGGTGACCCCTGAGCTATTGATAAATAAATGCACACCATGCCTGTATGTCTTGCCTGAGGAAGAGAACCTGGGAACAAAAAAAAGAGGCTTACTGATTTCTTAGCCTAGTGTCTCTACCACTGAGTCAGGGGCAAGTTCTCAGCAACAGGAAAAGCTGCTCTGAGAGACTGTGTGGGTCTAGGAAGGGCAGAGTCACACAGACCTGAGCCCCGGTTGGTGTATGGTCTCAGCCAGGGCATTTAACCTCTCAGAACCTGGTTTTCTCATTGAAAAAATGAAGATGCCAAATCCCTCCTAGACGCTGTTCTAAGATGCTAACATATGTGCTGGCCCTCGAACAATGGGAGCAACCATGGCTACTCTTGCCTGTGCCCCCCAACACTGTGGAAGTGGCTGAGTCATGGTTAGGTGATGTGTTGGGGCCACACGTCTCCTACATGAGCTGGGGTTCCACATCCTTTGCTCCTGTCCCTAGCAACGTTCAAGGAAGGATGGCTGGACTGCCAGGCTTTGGGGGGCTGGCTTTATCCAGCAAACACCACCCGCCATACACAAACACAGACAATGGCTCCTGCTCAGAGAGGTCATCTGACCATCAGCTACCCTAGAACCAAAGTGAGGAGGCCATTAGATCCAAGACCCAACTTTTCAAGCATAGGGAGAAAAAGAGAGCAGCTGAGGTCTTGTCTCATGCCAGGTGGGGAGGAGCCTCCCAATCTGTAACCTCGGCCCTCCAACCCTCACCCTGACATCTGTCTAGCCACTGGGGACCCCTTCAGGCCCAAGGTCCAAGGTCTAATATTGGCGGGAGTTCAAAGAAAGGCTTTTTTGTTTGTTTGTTCGTTTTTGAGACAAAGTCTTGCTCTTGTCCCCCAGGCTGGAGTGCAACGGCGCGATCTCGGCTCACTGCAACCTCTGCCTCCCAGGTTCAAGCAACTCTCCTGCCTCAGCCTCCCAAATAGCTGGAATTACAGGCGCCTGTCACCACGCCTGGCTAATTTTTGTGTTTTTAGTAGAGACAGTGTTTCGCCATGTTGGCCAGGCTGGTGTCGAACTCCTGACCTCAGGTGATCCGCCCTCCTCGGCCTCCTAAAGTGCTGGGATTATGGGCGTGAGCCACCGCGCCTGGCCTGCGTTTCTATTTCTATTTCTACTGGATAGCACTGCAGTAGAGCTTCACCAGCGGCTAGCTGGCTGGGTCTCAGCAGTCCTAGAGCTGGTGCCTCCATTACACAGATGAGGAAACCAAGGTTCAGTGTACAGCCAACTCAGGAGAAGTGCTTGGGTCAAAGGAGTGAGCCCCCTTTGCTGTAACTTGATGGCTGTAATCAGGAGCTGTGGCCTTACCCACTCATGACCTCCACTCTCCTGGGATGTTTACGCTTACCTCGGGGGTACCACAGAACGTGGATGTGGTCTCTTCAGGCTCTACACCTTCCTTGCAGAGGCCAAAATCCGTCAGCACCACGTGTCCCTGAGAATGAGGGAGGGCATGGGTATGGCCAGGCCTAACCCCAAAGTCCAGATGTCACACCCCAGGGCAGCAGCTGTGGGATCTGATGCCCAGGCACAGACTGGAGGCTCCACACCAACCCAGGGGTCCTGGACTGGATGCCGGCAACATCACAGGGGGCCAGGTGGGCACATGTGTTCCACTCTCTGCCCACAGCTCATCACAAACTCAGAGCCACCCCTACAACAGTGGCAGCTTCAGGATGCCCTTGTGGACAGAAACCCCCTAGACAGAGGGTGGGGACTCAGAAAGCAACCACACTTTGTGGCAGCTGGGCAGGAAAGTAGAGTGAGTAGATACGGTGGGGTTCTGCCCGGATCCCTGAAACCAGCGTACAGAAGAACCATGCCTATCCCCATCCCCCTGCTGCTAGAACATTGCCCGCACCCAAAGTTACGCCCCCTCCTTAGGAGCAATCCATGTCCAGGGGCACAAAGGCCCATCCTCTTTGCCTCACTTTGGGACAATCCTAGAGAGCCATCCTGGCTTAGGCCCTCCCCACCCCTGCAAGATCAGCTGAGGCTCCACTGGCAACCACAATGCAGGTGAGCTGCTTCCTTTGCCCAATCCTGTTTCTTCACCCCTTTAAAAGTGTTACCTCTTGAGAATGTTCCTCAACAAAGCTTCTGCCTCCTCTCCATCTCAGAGTCTGTTTCCATGGAGCCCAGTCTAAGACAAACTCCACCAGCCCCTACCTGGCTCCACCCCTGCCCCTTGTATACATGCATGCACATATATACATGTACAGTCTCACGTGCACATATGCATGTGTGTACATGCGCATGGGCACACACGCACACATATGCTCAAATGCCTCCCCTACCTATATGCATGCATGTACAATGCATGCACATCCATGCACACAGACTCATGGTCAGATAGTGTACCTGTGCAACCATGTCCACATGCACACGTGCACACACGCACACACACACACGCGCGCGCACACACACACACACACACCAACCTGGCAGTCCAAGAGAATGTTCTCTGGTTTCAGGTCCCTGCAGAAAATAAGAGAAAAGAGCCTTGAGGTGTCTCAGTCGTTTAGTGAGGAGAGTTGGAGACCTGGTGGCAGGGTGGTCCTGGCAGGACAACTATTCATAGAGGATCCCAGAGACGCAGAGGGAGAGCCCAGGAAGCCTGGGCACTTGGACCTCGGAGGAGGAGACTCCAACCCCACCCAAAACAGAGGACCAACTCCACCAGGATTTCATCAGGTTTTAGGGTCCACACAACCCGTAGCTGTTGGAGCAAGAAGGACCTGGTCCTGGCTCTGAGCCACAGGCAGGCCTCACCTGTAAATGATGTTGAGGGAGTGCAGGTAGCCAATGGCGCTGGCCACCTCGGCAGCGTAGAACCTGGCCCGGGGCTCCAGGAACCGACGCTCCCGCTGCAGGTGGAAGAAGAGCTGGAGGGGAGGAGGAGTGTGAGAGGAGTTACTGGGTGGCTACTGTAGGGCTAGGGCGCACCTGCTCCCTGCCCTGTGCGGCTGCCCAGCTCACTCCCTTTCTGACCTGCAGCATCTTCCTACCAAAAGAGTTCATGCTGACCCTTGCCCCACACAGCAGTCCTGGGTGTCCAAAGAGTCAGCAGAAGAAGAGATGAGTTAGCATTGCTTAAGCACCTCCTGTGTTCCAGGCTCCAAGTCAGGCCTTTCCACATCTCTTATTTAATCCTCATGACAACCTTCAAGGTACAAATGTCATGCTAGTTTCATGTAAGAGGAAGCTAGGAAGGGTCAGAATGGTTAGGCGACTTGCCCAAAGTCATGTAGCTTATAATGGGCAGAGCTGGCATTTGAACCTGCGTGGTTCAAAGATACGCTTTTCCATCAATCCAGGCAATGAGATGATATGGCTGTCAGACTGAGCCCAGGTTAGATCCACCCATGGGCCAATGTTTTTAGACTATTTTGCTGGCATGAAAAGCCCTTCACTTAGGGATGCAGGACAAAAACCCCCCTCTTGGCATCATTCTGAAAGGCATGAGGTCACTCAGGTTAAATCTGGGGTCACTGAGTAGAGCCCCACTACATTTTGCCATCTTTTTTTTTTAAGACGCAGTCTCGCTCTGTCGCCCAGGCTGGAGTGCAGTGGCCGGATCTCAGCTCACTGCAAGCTCCACCTCCTGGGTTCACGCCATTCTCCTGCCTCAGCCTCCTGAGTAGCTGAGACTACAGGCACCTGCCACCTTGCCTGGCTAGTTTTTGTATTTTTTTAGTAGAGACGGGGTTTCACCGTGTTAGCCAGGATGGTCTCGATCTCCTGACCTCGTGATCCGCCCATCTCGGCCTCCCAAAGTGCTGGGATTACAGGCGTGAGCCACTGCACCTGGCCCATTTTGCCATCTTGACCAGAGAGACAGAGTGAAGCCCAGGAGGGAGCCCCGCTTGTCCCAGCTGTGCTTCTGGGTCACCAGGTGGCCTCAGGTCTCTGTTTACCAGAGTGACGAGTCAATCCCATCCTGCGCCCTATGGGGCAAAATGGGAGCACTGGAAACCTTGACCACGAGCTCCTCTTAGCATTGACCTTTCCTGGGTCTATCAAAGTGTGTCCGTGGGCAACTCTGAATGAGGAAGGCAAGAAAGCATCATGGTGGGCAGTCTAACAGACGTGAATTCAAGTCCTGACTCTATCAGGTATGGGCTGGGTGGCCTTGAGCAAATGATTACCTCCCCGAACCTCAGTTTCTTCAGCTACAAAATGGGTCTATTGTAAGGTGAGGTGAGATCATTCCAGAACTTGGCATGCAGTGGGCATGCGGGATAGACAGCTCCCAGCCGACAGCCCGCCCAGGGAAGCCTCCCTGTGGGCCCACCCACCTCTCCCCCGTTGACATAGTCGAGCACGAAGTAGAGCTTCTCAGGTGTCTGGAAGGAGTAGCGCAGGCCCACGAGGAAGGGGTGCCGCACATTCTTCAGAAGTACACTGCGCTCTGCCATGATGTGACTCTGCTGTGGAGTCACAAAGAGAGGGGTCCATGTCACAGCCCACAACCACCCCTTTTATCCCGGCACAGCCCATACAAGCTTGTGGGTGGGAGTCATCCTACTCAGGACTTTCTCATGCCTCTGCTCAAACACCCACAATGGCTCCCTATTGCCCTCAGAGCCAGGCCCAAGTTCCTTGCTTAGTATTCAGGGCTCAGGGTGGTCAGCCTTATCCTAAGCTAGTCCATGTGGGCACAGCTCTAGCCCCTGGATCAGAGCTTCTTGCCCCTGGAGTGAAAAGCAAAGCATGTGTGATGCCTCACATAAATGAGTTCCTAAGGGAAAGAAGCCACGCACTATCCACGGTCACACATTTGCTCGTGATATTTCCTCTTCTTGCATGTCGCACCCTCTTTTCAGACCATCAGAATCCCACCATCAAGGCCAGCTGCACCGCTGCCTTCCTCAGGAAAACCTCCCATTCCCACTCCCTACGGAGACCTTGTCAACATTAATCACTCTTTTCTCTGAGTCCCCTGATCTCCTATGCAATCCTCCCTCTGAGCCTGCTCTGGCCTACTAATGGAGTTAGGTGTTAAAGGAACTTAGGTCAGCTGAGGCATCAAGAAATCCACGATGGGGCTGAGTGTGGTAGCTCATGCCTGTAATCCCAGCACTTTGGGAGGCTGAGGCCAGTGGATCTCTTGAGGCCAGGAGCCTGACCAACTTGGCAAAACCCCATCTCTATTAAAAATACAAAAATTAGCCAGGAGTGGTGGCAGGTGCCTTTAATCTTAGCTACTCAGGAGGCTGAGGCACGAGATCACTTGAACCCAGGAGGTGGAGGTTGCAGTGAGCTGAGATCATGCCATTGAGCTCCAGCCTGGATGACAGAACAAGACTCTGTCTCAGCAACACAAAAAGAAGTCCATGATGTGCTGCGCAGGTAGCTCATGCCTCTAATCCCAGCACTTTGGGAGGCTGAGGCGGGAGGATTGCTTGAGCCCAGGAGTTTGAGGCTGCAGTGAGCTGTGATTGCACTACTGCACTCCAGTCACATGGCCTGATGGCATGAAGGCCTTCAGAGAGAAGAAAGTGAGGCTCCACATTGTACAGATGGGGAGCCTGGCGCTGGGAGCGGGCAGAAGACTTGTCCGTCGTGGAGCCTGCGTTTCCCAGGGGAAGGCAAAGCCAGGCTGGTTTTCCTGAAAGCCTGTGGTGAGGTGGCTCGGCCTGCTTTCTTTGAGAAGGACCAGCATCCTGCGTACCATCTGCCCTCTACCCTTTGTTGTGACCACCTCTGCACCCAGCCCCATGGACCTGTCAGAGGTGGGACCCATCTTTGAAAGCCACCCTAGGCTGGGGTTTGAGAAGCAGAAGAAGAAACGCCTGTGCCCGAGCCCTGGTACCTCTTTCTTCTTTAAGATGGACTTTTTCTGCAGCACCTTCACTGCATAGAACGTCCCATCAGACTTGCGCTTGGCCAGCAGGACCTGAGCAGAAACACGAATTTGAGGCCCTGTAGGTGACTTTGGACTTCCCAACTGCAGTACGAGGCCTCCCGCCTGCCCCTGCTTTTGTCTGCAGGTACGAGAGCTCTCTCTTCACACACACAAGTGGCAGCAGGGGCTGAAAGAGGCTGCAGAACGGAAGACCCAGGCTTCCCAGCCTCACCAAGTCACTCACCTTCCCATAGTTCCCTTTGCCGATGACTTTGAGGAAGTCGAAGTCCGTGGGCCGGGCACTGGGGGAAGACGGAAAACCATGCATCAGCATTTGCAGGTCTGGACAGCTGGTGCCTGAGAACAAACCTGGGCTTCTTTTTAACTTTAGAGTGGGGAAATACAGAGAGCCTTCCAGCAGCCATGCCTCCTCACCCCCGAAGAATGCCATGTTCTCCCAGCTGAGAGAGGGCTTGTAAGATTCACCCTGGCCCCAGGGGAACTCAAATTCAAGTTAAACAATAGGCAGAGTGGAGATAAAACCAGACACACTGCACAGAAGGCCTGCATAGAAGGCAGGGTTCTGGTACCCAAAGCCCCTGAGTAGGGCCTGAAGTGTGGGGAGTTGCTAACAATGCAGACATTTCGGGGGCATTGCCGGAAGAGGGTTCAGCATGGGCAGAGGCTGCTGGGAAATTCGTGGGAGACAAAGCTGGGGAAAGGTCCTGGGCCCAGATGGCAGAGAGTATTGAATATTAGACCAGATAATTTGAATTTTATTCCCAAGGCAAGGGGAGCCAGGTATGAAGGGAGTCAAGTAGGAACGGTGCTTGAGGGACCAGAACTCACTTTGGGTTGGCTGAAGGCCCCAGGTTGATGTTCCCATTGGCCTTGGAGGGCTAAAGAAAGAAGTGATTACGATCAGCAGATCCCTGCTCCCTGGCTACCTCCCTTTCTCCTAGCCCAGGCCCTGATCCCTTCTCCAACAACTCTAGAAGGCCCACCTGCCTTTTTCTTTTTTTTGCCTGCCCACCTGCCCGCCTCCTTTCCTCCCTCCCTCCTTCTACTCACCCACCAATCCACTTATCCACCGTCTTACCCACTTCTCAAAACAGCCTTGGGAGGCAGCTGGCTGTTGTGCTAACTGAATAGGTGAGGAAACTGAGGCCCAGAGAGGAGTTGCCCAGGGTCTCACAGGCAACCAGGTTGGGATAGAAGCCAGGTGTCTTCATGACAAATCCCATGATTTTTCCAGTCCATCGTGAAGCCCTATTTCAAACCTCTCCTCTATTCACCTTGCAAGTGGCTCATTTCTATGTGCTCTCAGTGATCCTCTGAGCCCCTGACATTGTCTGGGACAGCCCATGGGGCTAGTGGGTGTCTCCACAGATTTCCTTAGCCTCAGGAGGAAGTGAGCGCCCTGATGATGAGTGGGGGACCAAGAACCACTCACCTGTGGACTGGTGGTCCCAGCTGGGTTAGAGTTCATTCTGTAGCAATGATCAGGCAGCTCTGGGGGGACAGGGAGGAGCAGGCATGAGAGAGCTGGTGTTGTGGGGCCAGCTTCACCCATCCAGGGCTTCAGGCACCACTGCCCTCTCCATCCTCCCCTACCTGTGCACCTGCCTCCGCCTGAGGGTTTCCTACCCCAGAGGCAAGCAACCCCTGCATGGATGGAACAAACAATGATATTCCCCGGACCTAGACTTTCGAACAAACATCTCAGAAGGGATAAAGGGGGATAGTCAGAGTGTGGCCCCTCCCAGGCTGATTCTTTTCAAGAATTGGGGATACCCAGGGCAGCAAGAACCCTGTGAGCCAGGGTAGCCCCAGAAGTCCCAGATGGCCAGGGCTGGAAGGACCTTTTCAGGGCATAAAGTCTGAACCCTTCCCCCATTTCACAGGTGGAAGGCCTGGGGCCTAAGAAAGGACCTTCCTAAGTCCACACAGCCTTGTGAAGGCACAGGCTGGGCTCTCCGGACTCTCACGGAGGAACAATGGCAACCCGGAATTACTGTGCGGATTCCCAGCTGGGCTCTGTGCTACGATCTCCTCGCCACAGGGAATTCTGCCCAACACCTCAGGAAAGGCAACTGCCGTGGAAGCCCTGGGCTGGGGCTGCAGAGAGACCCAAGACTGGCCAGTATCTATTCGGGGCCAAACAACAGAAGGTGTGACCAGCTGATCTATGTGGCCAGGAATAGTGTCTTCCTTGTTCCACCCTGCAGGGGAGAGGAGGCCAGGGTGCCCAGGCCCCGCCACAGATCGCTTGGGGTCCCACAGCCTCATCCTTGCTTGGCAAAGGCTGAGAGCAGAGAGCTCACCTGAGAGGCCAGCTGCTGTGCATCTCAAGACCTTAGTCTTGGCCCACTGTGGGGCCTGGGCTGCAGCCCAGCCTCTCTGAGTAGAGATTTCCTATCTTTACAAGGCAGGTCCTGGAGGCACCAACCTCATGGCCTTCTTGGGAACGGAGAAAGTGAAGGGGAATTGAGAGGATCCCCCATCAGCCCCTCTCAGGGCTGCCCTGAGAGGCCCAGCCCTGCCAAGCCCTAAGAGCAAGCCGCAGAACTGCTAAGGAAGTGCAGCCTGCCCCTAGCCAATGCCAGACGTGTGTGCTCCTGCAAACAGCCCACAACACTGCCACACCCTCTCTTGGGCTGACCCCAATGGCCCTTCTGCCAGGACCTGGCCTCCCTGGTCCCACATACCTGCGAGTCTGAGGAGAGGCCTCTAGGAGAACCAGCAGTTGGAACCGAAGACAGGCAGTGGACAAGAGAGCCTCTCTCTGTTCTCCCAACAAGGGCCTAAGTGTCTGTGCCCGGTGCCGGCCTGGCCCCAGCACAGAGCTCACAGCTCCCGGCAGCCGCGAGGGGGCTGGTTGATGTCACGAGGGATCCAGCAGAGCTTAAGATGGGACTGGAGACTTCTGTTCCCTGGGGGACACCATCTTACCCTGGCGGGGATGGTGGGAGGGGTGGGCAGTAGCCCCAGGGGAGCCCTGGAGACCCTTGGGGCTTGTTAGACTGTGTGGGTCGGGGTGTGTGCGGCATGGTATGTACTGTGTGTTTTGTGCATACCGTGCTTCCATATGTGTCTGTCTGTGGCTCTGTATTTCAGGTATTTGTGTCCGTTTGTATGAGTCTGCGCAGATGATTGCATGTATGTGTCAGTGTGACCACATTTGTACAATTACATCAGCGTATGTCTGTGCGTCTGTGACTGTGTGCATCACTGTACCTCTCAGTGTGTGTGGTGTGCATATGGATGTGTTTCAGCGTGTCTCTGTAGTACATGTCAGTGTGTATCTTTGTATGTGAATGTGCCGTGTCAGTGTGTGTATGTGGGTGAGTGCGAGTCTGTGTGGATGTCTGAAGGTATGTGTTCAGAGCAGTATGGGCATCTATTAATATGTGTGTATAGGTAAGTCATTGTGTGTCTGTGTTCATATTGGTGTATATCAGTAAATTTACTCTGGGGTGTGTGTGTGTGTGTGTGTGTGTGTATGCGCGTGCATGCGTACGTGTAGGGAGCCTGTGTATATGAACCCTGTGGAGACCATCTGGAGCTGAAGAAGAGGTCCCACAGAGGTCAGCCATGGCAGCTGAGACCCCTTCGCCTCCCAAAAACCTGCAGATGTTTCAGAGGAAGGAACCTGGAGCCTGGGTGTCTAGCTCAGTCCAGGCTGCCTTGGTCTTTGCTGAGCACTTGGTCCTTTGGGCCTTTCCCTGCCGTCCCCTCAAGGGCTCTGGCCCAGTCCTCAGGGCAGGCCTGGTTGGCCCACAGCTGTCCTGCTGTGTAAGAAACGGTCCCAGAGAGCCCCCTGGCTCAGGAAGGCCTTGCTTCCTGGGGCAGTCATTAGGTACTCACAGGGTCCCTTCCTCTCCCCAGGACCCGAGGGGTGGGCAGGTGTTCTGGGGAATAAAGGAGTTGATGGGCCCACGGCCCCTGCCCTTCTCGAACTTTTTGTGTGGCTACAGTATACTACAGGGGAGGGACACATGGGGCTAGGACCCAGAAAGTTGGTCACGGACAGAACTGAGCCCAGTGGCCTCAGGGGTTCTCTGTGGGCTCTGAAATGCAGAGGATCTGGAAGTGTTGACCAGAGAAAACCTGAGTGCACAGTATCAAAGCCTTCCATCTTGAACAAAATAGAAATGTGGAACCAGTTCATGATGAGCAGGACGTCGTGTTGACAAAACACATACCCAGAACAAGGACATTTCTTTTTAAAAACAAGATCCTGATGTGGCCTTCATTCAGCAGCACTATTTATAACGGCAAAATAATTGTGCTAATAGTAACTTAAGTGTCCCACCACAGGGCACTTCAGAATACTTGCTGGCTGCAAGAGCTCCCTCTCTTGACCATACACCGTGTCCAGATACTGTCCCATTTCTTTGTACTCCTTTTCAGCTAAACTCCACTGAAGGGTGGTCTGGACTCCTTGTCTCCACTCCTCTTCCTGTTCTCTTTTGAGCCCATTCCAAACAGGCTGTCATCCCAACACTTCAATGAAACCGTGGACCAGTGATCTCTATGTGCCAAAGCCAGTGATGAGTTCCTCATCCTCATCTTACTCAACTTCTCTGAAGAATTTGGTGTGCTCACGTTCCCCATTTGGCTTCAGGAACTCTTGGTTTTCCTTCTAGCTCACTGACTGCTCTTCCTCCATCTCTCGTGCTGGATTTTCCTCCTTTTTTTATCCTTAAACACAGGCCTATCCCAGGGCTTAGTCTTTGGGCCTCTGTCTACACATACTTGTTCTTTAGTTGATTGCTATCATTTTAATGGTTTAACCAACTATACTTGTCAGTTCCCAAATCTCTCTCTCTCATTCTAATTCTCTTTCTTTCTTTTCTTTTCTTTTTTTTTTTTTTTTTTTTTTTGAGACAGAGTCTTGATCTGTCACCCAGGCTAGAGTGCAGTGGCAGTATCTCAACTCATTGCAAACTCTGCCTCCCAGGTTCAAGTGGTACTCCCACCTCAGCCTCCCAAGTATCTGGGACTACAGGCCCCACCACCATACCCGGCTAATTTTTGTATTTTTTTTAAGTAGAGATGGGGTTTCACCATGTTGGCCAGGCTGGTCTCGAACTCCTGACCTCAAGTGATGTGCCTGCCTCGGCCTCCCAAAGTGCTGGGATTACAGGTGTGAGCCACCACACCCAGCCTAGTTCTGATTCTTTCCTGAACTCTGTACTTAAATATTTAACTGCTTCCTTGACAATTCACTAGTTAGATGTCTAGAGGCATCTCAATCTTTTTTTTTTTTTGTAAGAAAGAGTCTCACTCTGTCACCCAGGCTGGAGTGCAGTGGCACAATCTCGGCTCACTGCAGCCTATGCTTTCTGGTTCAAGCGATTCTCCTGCCTCAGCCTCCCCAGTAGCTGGGATTACAGCACCTGCCACCGTGCCTGGCTAATTTTTGTATTTTTAGTAGAGACTGGGTTTCACCATGTTGGCCAGACTGGTCTTGAACTCCTGACCTCATGTGATCCACCCGCCCCTGCCTCCCAAAGTGCTGGGATTACAGGTGTGAGCCACCACGTCCAGCCAAAGCATCTCAATCTTCTTTTATTTTTTATTTTTATTTTTTTTTTGAGACATGGTTTAGCTCTGCAGCCCAGGTTAGAGTGCAGTGGAGTGATCTAGGCTCTCTGCAATCTTTACCTCCCCAGCTCAAGCCATCCTCCCACCTCAGCCTCCCAAGTAGCTGGGACTATAGACACACACTACCAGGCTTGGCTAAATTTTTTTGTACTTTTTGTAGAGACAGGGTTTCACCATGTTGCCCAGGCTGGTCTTGAACTCATGAGCTTAAGCGATCCTCCTGCCTTGGCCTCCCAAAGTGCTGGGATTACAGGTATGAGCCACCGTGCCTGGCTGGTATCTCGAACTTAACATGTCTGAAACAAAGGTCTTGACTCATATTCCTTCCACTCTGCCCCAGTCTGTTCCTCCCTCAGTCTTCAGCCTCAATAATGGCACTACTGCCTACTCAAAAGTTCAAGCCAGCAACTTTGAGTTCATTCTGGAAAGGCTGCACCCTCACTCCACTTCCACTCCACCATGAAATTCCATTCACAATATATCCAGAAACCACTGCTGCTCACCATCATTGCTGAAACCGCCCTGCCTGAGCCCCCATCGTCACTTGCATGGATTATTGCAATAGATTCTCCACTGACTCCCTGCTTCTCCGCTTACCCACTACAATCTTTCTCCATGAAAAGCCACAATGAGTCTTAAAATGTAAATCAGATCATGTGCCTTAGTTGCTCAAAAACTCCAGCGCTTTCTCATCACACCTAGAATAAAAATCCAAAGCCTCAGCTGGGCGTGGTGGCTCATGTCAAGAGATCAAGACCATCCTGGCCAACATGGTGAAACCCCGTTTCTACTAAAAATACAAAAATTAGCTGGGCGTCGTGACACGTGCCTGTAGTCCCAGCTACTCGGGAGGCTGAGGCAGGAGAATCGCTTGAACCCAGAGGCAGAGGTTGCAGTGAGCGGAGATTGTGCCACTGCACTCCAGCCTGGTGACAGAGCAAGATTCTGTCTAAATAAATAAATAAATAAATAAATAAATAAAATCCAAAGCCTCTACCATGGTTTATGAGATCCATATGACCTGGCTGCTGTCTCCATCTCCTCCTCGGCTTCCACTCCTCTGCTTCCTGACTGCCCTCAGCCTCTCTGCTTTCTCTTGCTGTCCCTGAAACACACTACTCTCTGGCCTCCAGCCCCTTGCACGTAGCTTTCCCTCTGCCTACGACACTCTTCCCCCAGGCATCCGCATGGCTGTTTTCCACTAATGTCATAACGGTTTCTGCTTAAAAGTCACCTCTTGGAGAGGACTGTACTGATCACGAGTGACAGGTCATCCTGGTTTGTCTGGGACTGATGGGTTTCAGTGCTAAAACCGCTATAGTCCTGGGCCAACCAGGATGGTTAGTCACTCTGATACCAGTTCTGCTCATTCCCTATACACTTTGTCTACTTTATATTTTACTTTGTAGCACTGATACCTTATCCTGTAACTATTAGTTTTTATTTTCTATCTCCAACTAAAACATCAGCTCCAGGAGGGCAAATACTTCCTGTTCAACTATTGTATCCTCAGCACTGAGCACAGGGCCTGGAATATAGTAGGTGCCCAGTACATATTTGGCTAATGAATCGATAAATGAATTGATAAATGTTGGTACATATATAAAGTGGAAAATTACACAACCAAAAACTATATAAAACCTATGTAAACCAAAACAGGAACATACACATGATACAGTATCAAGCAAAAAACCAAGTTTCAAAATAGCAGGTGTTGTAGGGGTGCCAATTTTATAAAAGAAAAACAAAAGACACGTATGCACGCACACATTTGTGAGTACAGCTGCCAAAAAAAGACTGGAAGGTCACGACCCAAGGTAACGGCGGGTTCTTAGGTTAGGTTATTTTAACTTTTTTTTTTTAAGATGGAGTCTCACTCTGTTGCCCAGGCTGGAGTGCAGTGGCGCAATCTCTGCTCACTGCAACTTCCGCCTCCTGGGTTGAAGCGATTCTCTGTCTCAGCCTCCCGAGTAACTGGGATTACAGGCATGTGCACGACACCCAACTAATTTTTCTATTTTTAGTTGAGAGGAGGTTTCACCATGTTGGTCAGGCTAGTCTCGAACTCCTGACCTCAGGTGATCCGCCCGCCTTGGCCTCCCAAAGTGTTAGGATTACAGGTGTGAGCCACCGCGCCTGGCTGGTTATTTTAACTTTTATCTTTGTACTATTGTGTAAAGCTTCTCAAGATATTGCTGTTGAGTTAATATTCAAGTACTAAGTTCTGGGTGGGAACCTGGCATGCCCATGGCCCATCACACCCTCCCCCATCACCTTGACTGTGACCCCTATGCTTAAGCAGCCCTCAGTTCCTAAGGCTTTCTTCTCTCTTGCACCACGGTGTTCTAATTTTCTGGCCAGAAGCTGGACATCAATATGTTCTCCTAACTCTTCAGACTCTGCGAACTCCCACTCAGGCCCCTCCATGAGTCCTTAAGCCTGTCCCTTTCCTAACTTGCCACAGCCCAGATTTGCCTCCTCTGTCCCATTGTTACATGGACATGCTTACAGCTCCCTGGTCCTGTCAAATGGGGTGTGGGGGTGTGACAGTGTCACACAGTTCTCTCTCCTTGGAACATTCCCCAACGAACCTGGTCTTTCCAGCTCACCTTTTCATCTGTTCTCATTGCCTTTCCTGGAAGCCAGACGACCCGCCGACCCCATGCGCCCTCTCCTGGTGCTGTCCCTGTCTTCACTGTAACTTGTTCATTTACACACCTGCCCAGTTCAAGTGCCAACTTTATCTTATTTTGTTCCAACAACCCCATGGGTTAGGAACTATCATCGTACCTGTTTTAAGGAGGAGAAAACTGAGGCAAGGAGAGGGAAGTGACATGATCAAGACAGTTAATAAATGACATAACCAGGATTTGAACCCAGGCCATCTGACTGCAGAGCCCATGACCTGGAATTTCAGGAAGACAATAGAAAGCTAGAAAAGGAAAAAATGAAGTTAGTGGGAAGGAAGTGAGGATGTAAGTTGGTTAGTTAAGGAGAAAGAAAATTAGACAGCTGAGAAAGCAGATAGTTGAGGGGGAAGGAAGGAAAGGAAGGAGGGAGAAGGGAAAGAAGTTGGGAAGGAAGAAAGGAAGGAAAGAGAGTCAACAAGTACTAGGAAAGATGTTAGCTAGGTAACTAGTCAATTTGGAGACCAATAGGCCAGCAGGCAGGTATCTGCTCACGGGTGAGCCTCTCACCTGAAAACTCCAGGTTCCAGCTCAGGTCCTGGGGAGCAGCCCCTTGCACGGCTCTGCCCTCTTCTCTCTCTTCATGGTCCTTCTGACTGGAGGCACAATCCTGACTTGTCGAGCAACCTTCCCAATCAGGAACGACCTGTCACCCACTCGCTCCTGGCTCCCAAACCGGCTCAAGTTCAACCTCCCAGCCCTGCCTGCTGGAAGCTGGCTTCAGGGCCTTCCAGTTACTAATTAACAACTGGACCTGAATTACCAAGCTGGCTGCACCCGCTGGCTCCTGGATGGGCACTGCCTGGGGGACTCTCTGAATTTTTAAAAGCACAACTTGTTATGTGACCATGGGCAACTGACTTCAGCTCCCGGAGCCTCATGTGAATTGCTGATGGATGGTGTGTCCTGCTGGAGGGAGGGTCTCTGAAGTCCCTTTCAACACTGGAACTGCCGCACTCTCTCAAGGTCCAGCTTAAATGCTGACTCCTACACAGCCTTCCCTGATTCCCTCCGCTGAGTCATCTTCCCTTTCGCTTGGAACCTAGTGAACCAGCAACTGAAAGGTTGGTCTCACACAACTCTCTCCTCCACCCCTTCCCTAATGGGGGCCACCAGCCTCTATGTTCAGTCCTTTCATAGAAACTTCCAGGGCTGGGCAGCTCATTTCCCCCTGAACCAGCCTCTGGCAATTTCTTGTGTTAAGCCAAAGACTGCCACCCAGAGCTTACCCAACCTAGCACTGCCCTGGCACCGTTCGGGGAGAATCACAGCTGAGTTGAAACCTATGCCCCACTCTGCCCTTCAGAGATTTGAGGCTCAGGAACCAGAGATTAGCTCACCCTGGAGAACAGGGAAGGTTTTCTTGGGGGTTGACCCAAAGCGTCCCAGGCCCTGGGTTCTTTTTTTTGTTTTTTTTTTGAGACGGAGTCTCGCTCTGTTACCCAGGCTGGAGTGCAGTGGCATGATCTCGGCTCACTGCAAGCTCCGCCTCCCGGGTTCACGCCATTCTCCTGCCTCAACTTCCCGAGTAGCTGGGACTACAGGCGCCTACCACCATGCCTGGCTAATTTTTGT